CACTATCAGTACTTTCAAGCAATATAAAAATGTTTTATTAGCAGCGTTTCAGTCTCACAACCTTCTTCATCAGGCACTTGAAGGCTTGCCTGATGAAAGTCGTGAGACCGAAATGTTGCTAATAAAACATTTTTATATTACTTACAAGTACTGACAGTGTGCGGGAGTTCCTTATTTGCAGATGCAATAATTACTACAATGTCTTCAGGCCCAATTATGAACCAAAGTGTGATCATACTGTACATTATTAACGCTTACTGACGCAAGTCCTGCATGGATTCCATGTATTTTGTAGCTTAATGACTTTACATGATCATATGGACACCGCAAGCGTAAACTGCAGCTATCTCTGTGTTTGGAAGCATGTTCATATGTTCATTTTTTATGTTATCGTTATCGGTGCAAAACGAAAATGTGGCCGATATATTAAAGCTGATAAATAATGTATTATTTCCTTCAGATGCGCACTGTTCAACAATGAATTGGTTTTGAATTGATTGAAATATGATTGGAATCACTTCAGAAAAGGAAAATACAGTTAAGTGCAAGTCTGTCATATCGGCTACATAAAATTATTATGAGAATATCATTATAATTGTGTGTTTGGGAGATGGCTTTTAATGGTGAGACTTTAGTTTTGCAATCAGGTTCTCTAAAATTATATAAAAATCTGGATTTAGATTTATCAGCCAATATATCGGTTATCGGCTTTCAAATATAAAGAATTATCGGTATCAGCCAAAATGTTCATATTATATCGGTGCATCCCTATTTGGAAGTGCATTGTGTGAATCAGAGGCATTACACGCTTTTAACATTAAATAAAGCACATAAACAGTACCTGAGATTAGCATTGCCACACTTTGTGTTTGTTGTTCCAGCGCGAAGTCACAGAAAAATAGAAACCGTTTCTAAAGTAGAATCGTCGCGTATCGCGGCTTTGCCACTTCTGTTTTATTATCTTATATTTGAGTCTGATACTGGTTTGCCACTTCTGTTTTATTATCTTATATTTGAGTCTGATACTGGTTTGCCACTTCTGTTTTATTATCTTATATTTGAGTCTGATACTGGTGTGCCACTTCTGTTTTATTATCTTATATTTGAGTCTGATACTGGTGTGCCACTTCTGTTTTATTATCTTATATTTGAGTCTGATACTGGTTTGCCACTTCTGTCTTATTATCTTATATTTGAGTCTGATACTGGTTTGCCACTTCTGTCTTATTATCTTATATTTGAGTCTGATACTGGTTTGCCACTTCTGTTTTATTATCTTATATTTGAGTCTGATACTGGTTTGCCACTTCTGTTTTATTATCTTATATTTGAGTCTGATACTGGTTTGCCACTTCTGATTTATTATCTTATATTTGAGTCTGATACTGGTGTGCCACTTCTGTTTTATTATCTTATATTTGAGTCTGATACTGGTTTGCCACTTCTGTCTTATTATCTTATATTTGAGTCTGATACTGGTTTGCCACTTCTGTCTTATTATCTTATATTTGAGTCTGATACTGGTGTGCCACTTCTGTTTTATTATCTTATATTTGAGTCTGATACTGGTTTGCCACTTCTGTTTTATTATCTTATATTTGAGTCTGATACTGGTTTGCCACTTCTGATTTATTATCTTATATTTGAGTCTGATACTGGTTTGCCACTTCTGATTTATTATCTTATATTTGAGTCTGATACTGGTTTGCCACGTCTGTTTTATTATCTTATATTTGAGTCTGATACTGTTTTGCCACGTCTGTCTTATTATTTTATATTTGAGTCTGATACTGGTTTGCCACTTCTGTTTTAAGGTTGCTCTTAGCTTTGCTGCTTTTATTTGTGTTTTCTGTGTTATGCAGACTTCTTATTATTTATATGGTTGCTCTGTAAAGCACTTTGGTAAGCCTAGTGGCTGTTGTAAATGTGCTATATAAATAACATGAACTTGAACTTGAACTAATCATTAACTACCTCTAAAATAAGAGGAGAAAATAAGGTTGATAAGATCGTTCTGAGAAGGATGTTGATCCAGAAACACGTCCTCCTCGGTGTGGTTTTGGACATCTGGGTTATTTGGATGTCTATAGAAATATAAAAAAGACTCTCAGCTGTTGAACTCTTACCATGGACCTGCGAATGAATGTTAGTCGGCTCTTGGCTTTGTTCTCAGCGAACTCCAGAGTGCTGATGTCCTTCAGCCTGGCCTTGTACTTATTCATCTGCTCGCAAATGATCAGCTCGACACACCTTAAAAAAACAAAAATGTAATGGCAAAAATCAGATAAGCGATGACATCACAATGCTTTTAACTTCCAATGACACACCTGATGTCCTAGCATTGTAAACGTTAGTATTAGGACCAGGGTTTGAAATTAACTTTTTCACTCTCGGCCAATTTGGCTACTAATTTTTGTAGTTACCGGCCATTCAGAACTTTTACTCGCAGTTACAGCTTATGAATATATTATAAAATATGATTTCATACATTCATTTCTTATTCAAACTAAATCCTGTGATCCAGCCGTCTCCTCACTTCCTCTTTCATCCTCATCACCAAAAATGTGTAAAGAAAATAAAAAAACCTTAGGATGTTGGAATATGTCTTTTCTGTTAACCAAATGCTTTTTAATCTTCGCTATTGCTTCAATGCAAGTGAACAAGCGCGCCGTTATTTGTTGTGTAGTGACGTGTGTGTTCAAGTAAGCCAGATATGTGCAGATTCTGCGCAATTTAATATATCACGATGACTCACGAGTTGAGCATTTGCGCTAAATCTATGCATATTTGGCTTACACGAACTTCCCAAGCAAAGTGAGTAAACATAAGTAACACGCCTGATTGGCTCGTGACTTGACAAGCCGCCACAGTTGATTTTTACCCGCAGGTTTGCTGGTGTTAATTTCAAACCCTGATTAGGACTAAACTAGCCCCGTCAAACTATATGAAGTAAGAGCTGTCCATTACGCTGTGGTTTTCCCGATGTCCTGAACGCTCCTGAGAGGGTCTATGGTGTCAGGACAGCGCAGGATACAGGGCGCGAACACGATAGCCAGCGCATTAGCAGACATGCGGTTTGTTTCCTCCTGCAAGGCAATCCTGTGCGCGACAGAAACAAGATTGCATCAAATAATTTACACTGAATGCCAACATTCATAGTATACTAAGTGCAGTGGAATTTTAGACCAAGGCTGCATTTATTTGAAAAAAAAAAAAAACAGTAATATTGTGAAATATTAAGACAATTTAAAATAACTGTTTTCTGTGGGATTTTGTGCAGTGGGATTTTAGACCAAGGCTGCATTTATTTGATAAAAAAAAAAAAAAAAAAAAAAAAAACAGTAATATTGTGAAATATTAAGACAATTTAAAATAACTGTTTTCTATTTTAATATATTTTAAAATGTAATTTATCCCTGCGATGCAAAGCTGAATTTTCAGCATCATTACTCCAGTCTTTAGTGTCACATGATCCTTCTGAAATCACTCTAATTTGATGCTCAAAAAACATTCATTATTATTATTATCAATGTTGAAAACACTAAAATTTCAATTACACTCAACAATTTCACTGAAAGCCAACATTCTGCACAAAAAGTGAAAAGGAAGCCAATCAGAACATATTTTATGTGTGGTATACTAAGTGCAGTGGGATTTTAGACCAATGAGATTTCTCTGTGGGCGGAGCTACACACAAACACACAATGAGACTAAATAGAAACCAAAGGGCCGACAAAACAATAGGATCTATCGCTTGCCGTTTGATCGTGTCTCATCACTGTGTAATAGTTCAAGTCAATAGTCATTCATGCATTCATTATTTTGGAGAAATACAGTGTCGTCTCACCTGACCAAGTGGAAAATGAGGCGCTCCAGCGTGTTCAGATGAGTTCTGCTGAGCTGGTCGATTATAGAGTAAACGCCTCGAATCACTTCTTTTTTGTCCTGGAGACCTGAAGAGACATGACCGATATATCTTCACACATTATGACTCTATAAATGTCTAGTTTATCTAAAGCAATAAGGTTACTGCATCTGTAGACTAATATATATATATATAAAATGTACAAAGATTTTAAAGTTTTGAACTTGGGTGTTCTATATTATTTCATCATTTATGGTTGAAAATGATTTATAATCTACTTCAACACAGTGTAAAACCTATAATCAAAAAATTAAAACAACTTTGAATCCAAGACGTAAAGGTAGTTTAGCAACTTTAGGGATCTTTGATTTTGTTATCATTTTACAGCATTATCAATAAAATCTTTTTATTATACTGGGATACTGAAATGGCTGAGACTCGGGGGAGATTTTAATGTGCGAAAAAAAAAAAGCGAAATTATTAAATAAATACATGATCATATGCAAGATTGTCCACTAGTACTGAATTTAATGTTCGACAAAAAAATTTTTTTTTGCAAAAATAACTAAATCATATGCCATATTGTTCAATAGTACTGATTTGAATGTGTGCAAAAACAAAACAAAAAATACATAAATAATCATATGCCACATTGTCCACTAGTACCAATTTTAATGTGTGCCAAAACAAAACCATAAAAAGACACCAAAACTGAAAGCTAACGCTATAACTGAGGGGCTAATCCACTCACCCATGGCCCGCAAGAACTCCTCATACAGTTCAAAGGTCATCAGAGGATTCGGCAAATCACGAAGCCACTGCTTGAAAACACTGGCAATGACATTAATGTTGTAGTCGTCCAGATTCATGCCGTTTACATCTGAGGGAAGAAAATAATAGATATTAAACTATAGATACAGACATAGTTACTATAGATGTAGACATATTACTACAGAGAGTTAGCAATATTAATATTCAGCATTATTATGATTATTTTCTGTGATATTATTGATTTGACTGCACTGACACTATTGGATGGGAGCTGAACTGAGCTGATGATGACCACTGTATAGATGAATTGAACTGACGAACTTTACACGTTATTGAACAGACCTGAATCACCGCTGAACCGACTTCAGCTGAACAATGACACGATTGTCTTTCTAGAGCTGCTTTACAGCAGAATTGAACTCTGTTTGCATGACTGAATCATTATTTTTGTGTTTATGCCTGTAAAGCTGTATTGTATAAAGCGCTATAGAAATAAAGGTGACTTGACTATATAGTGTTCCAGTGAAAACTAATAAACATTCTTAAAACTGCATAAGAAATGTTGGTAACCCTTTAGTTCAGGGTCCAATTCTCACAATATGCTTCTTAGCATGCATATTACTAGGATATTAGCTGTTTATTAGTGCTTATAAAGATCATATTAATGCCTTATTCTGCATGAACATATTCTACATCCCTTAATCCTAAATTTAACAACTACCTTACTAACTATTAATAAACAGAAATTAGGAGTTTATTGAGGCAAAGGTCACAGTTAATAGTGAGAACTGGACCCTGAACTAAAGTGTGACCAAAATGTAACTAAAGTTTAAAAAAAGTTTAGTTTATAATAACAAAAATTTACTAATTAATTCCAAAATTTTCTGTAATTAATCGTACCTAACATTAAAGTTTTTTATAGTCGAACCGTGTGTGTGGTTGGGGAGGGGGCGGGGCTTTAACATTTTAAAGCCGCGATGTGCAGAACATCACACAAAGATATATAAGAAAATGTATAAAAACATTTCGGATCAATAAAACTAAGAAATAACATAAATAACTTGCATTTCACATGCAAATCAAATTAAATCAGCTAAATTGCCTGTGCGAGCAGGCTCTAAGTACAGAGCGCAACATAATGCACCTTTCTAAAAAATAAAAATACAAAACGAACTAAGTCAGAATCAAGTCACAAGATGCAGAACAAATGTGTGCAAAATGCCTAAAGTGCAGGGGAACATAGCTATATTCAAAACACAAGCCACAAATAGTTAAATTAGATAACCCTGAGTGATCAATAAATAAAATCAAAATAAAGAAATATAGCCAGAATTGTCAACTTTGTCTTTTTAACTGCAGAAAAAACAATAAACACTAAACCCAAGTGACAGTTTAGCTAAACATGTTCACAGCATCCAAAAATCAAATTAGAACCGGCTGAAATGTTTTGAAATCACTTGTACCCTTCCTGATCGAGACAAAATAAATCTAGTCTTTCACTCTGTCTGTGTCTCTGTGTCCGTTTGAGTCTTTTCAAATTGTGTGCTCGGATAAAATGCATTCTAAAACGCTTAACATGAAAAACGTACCGGCTTAATGTCCTAAGACGATTATATTAAAATATCAAATTCTGTACACACCTTATTAATAAAGCATACTGTATAGCCTACAGAAAAGCAGACGAGCCCAGATGAACGCAACGCATTTAATTAAACGTTAATTTTCCTCCCATTGAAAACCGTTATTATAAAGAAAACGCTTTACGTGACTTTCTATAAGAGGAACACGTTGTGTTCATATTCTGGGTTCTGCTCATCTGCACATAGTAGGCTATGGTTTCTTAATAAGATATGTACTACATACATTAAGCCACGTAAAAGTGCCTTTTAAGCGTTTTAAAAGCTTTTTTCACGTTAAGCGTTTTAGAATGACCCGAGGAAAATCAACTTGTTAACGTTGGCCGGCAGAAGTGCGATCATGGTTTCCGGATGCTAAATCCAGCCTTGGAGAATATCCTTTCTGATGGTGTGCATCCACTCTTTAGATTTTCTTATCCAGACATTTTTAAAGATTTAAATCCCTGCCGCCAAAACGCTCCTCTCTCAGTCACGGATCCAAAGTGAAACTTAAATCTGTCACGGGGTGTTTGGATTTATTTATGCACGTTAAAAATATTTATTAAAAGCTTCTTCCTTTGCACATTTGTATTTACAGCGTTATCATAATAGGCTCCTTATTAACGTATGACAGAAAACCGGTAGTTCTATGTGAAATCAGACATTGAGCACCCTCATTTGCGAAGATTCGACCATGAGATTGGTAGTCGAATCAGGCTCCTCCTATCGATGCATTGAATCTTCGACTATTGATGGTCACCCCTAATATATATATATATATATATATATATATATATATATATATATATATATTCATTCTACAGAATTGGTTAAAAGTCAGATTTTGAAACATCTTGAAAAAATTTGTCTTTTTCCACTGGGTACCACAAGAAAGAATGCGATGACTAAATACTGTATATATACATTTCTTTTGTCTTCGCATTCTTTGGTACCCAGTGACACACCTGTGTGAAAGGCTCATTATGCGGCTCATTATGCAGCTCATTATGCGGCTCATTACGCGGCTCATTATACGGCTCATTACGCGGCTCATTGTCTTCTCAGGTGTGAATCAGAGCATTATTCATGATCCTCACAATCATTCACGCCCACCCGCATATTGCCTTTCCAAACAAAAAGTGTCTTACAAAATTTACACCAATGTCATTGTTTTGTGTAAATGATTAGTCAGGATGATTTTCATATCATTTTGAAGCAAAAACTCTAGGCGGCAACGTCCATTAGTCAAAAGTCTTGTGGACACATTTCAGAAACTTTAAGTTTTAGTTTTTCAATAACCATGCATAAACAATATTCTCTCAAAAATACAAACATGTACATACATGTTGCTCATATATTATGGTAGCCCTGTTGGTGCTAAATAGAGTGTAATTACACCTGTGCCATTAATATGTTTATAAGCAACTGAAAAAAGCACAAATGTCAGGGCATGTCAAACCATCTCAAGGAGCCCAAAAACACCGTAGACCCCAGAGGGGTAAATCACACGTTCTCATGTTTCATACCTGTGTCCAGACTCAGCTTCAGCTCCTTAATCTTATTGGTGGATCCAGACTTTCTGTAGATCCCTTCCGTGTACAGGCCATGCATTTCAATGTAATTGATGAGTTTCTCGGCCACAAAAGGCACCGTTCGCTCGTCGATGGTCAGACGGGACAACTCCACACCAAACTGCCTTGATGAAAGCTCAGGGTCATACTGCACATGGAAAAAGAAAGGAACATGGTGTATGTGACGGCATGTTCCCCGATCACATGAATGCAGCACTTAGTGGAAAAATCCCTTACCTTCTTGCTGCATTTGGTGGTCATCTTCTGACAGCACTTTCTGTGACACGCATAGCGGCACACTACACAAGACACAGACATCTCATTCATTCTCATTTTCAACATACGGCATAGATTTCTTTTTTTACAAAAAAAAGCACCGCCACCTAAAATAAACTCAATTTAAGTCAACATTCCTCTCTCGTTGTAAGATGGCGGAAAACATCCTGCATCACAAAGCCAAACTGTTCTCTGCTCGAGGCCATGGGCTTGTGTTGGTGATCAATCGGATTATGTTAAATTGAGTTCAGGCCCAGTTTAATGCAGAGACTGTGGACATGAAACTCACGTTTGCAGACACACGCCTTGTCCATCATCCAGATGAGGGAGGAGCAGAACTCGCAGTAGGTGGGAATACTGTATTGAGTCGCCTTGAATATGTGGCCGTTGTGTTCCTCCACCTGAAACAAAGGCTCAGTGTCAGATGATTTACAAGAAAAACAGGAATGCTAAATCAGTACATAAAAACTCTGGCTCTGTTTACTCCTGGTATTAAGATGCGTTTTGGTCGATCGGATCACAAGTAGACGAGAGACACATTCCTGCTTACACCTGGTGTTTTAATCCGTCTCTTTTGTCCACTTTCAAACATTTTCTGATTTCTTCGAGGAGAGGGTCTATGTGTGGGTAAATATATGGACTTTTCAGATCTTTCGATCTAATGGACGAAATAAGCTTACACAATTTACACATGAACGCGACCCGAGACGACAGAAAAACACACAGAGAGCATCAGCTTTAGTTTCTGCTCTGACAGACGCAAGACCAGCCGAACGCTGTGAGTGTGTGTTAGAGATCAGGAATGGTGAGAGAACATTGTGCTTGGTATGTTTTTCCTCTTTAAACCAAACCTGTGTCTTTAGTCGACAGTTTAAACCCCGTCTGGCTAGAGCTCTTCCCATAATGTTCACGCATTAGATCAGTAGACGGAGAGAAGACAGTCTTTTGTGGGGGTTTGAACACACTCGATCACATGAGCGTTTACACTACGAAAGCAATCCGGTCGAGTGTGTTTTCCACTGCCAAGAGATTCTGCCAGTCCTGATCAGAAGGACCTTTGTCTTTAATGGCACTGGGAGCCCCTGGCTCAGTTTGAATAGTAATGCTGATTGGATTAGGATTGGTAACACTCTCAGGCTAAGAGCAGGTTCCTAAACCTGTATACTTCATTTACATGCTTTGTTTCAGAGTGTCTCCCCCTCGATGTAACTCCTCGCCATTAAGCTCTATGATAATGTGAAGGTATGGGTGATACAATCAGGCTGATTGGATTACCATCTATACATGACACTGTTATGCTGATGAGATCAGGGCTGGGGAATTTCCGGTAACGAGCTGAATCCTGTGCTTCATTTACATGCTTTGTTTCAGAGTGTCTCCACCTTTATGTAACTCCTCCCCCTTGTAAGGTATATGAACAGTCTGTATTTTAGTTTAGTCAGACTTGGCTAAGATTTTTGGACGAAGCAGACTACAGCGATGCAAGAGCAATTAAGAATCCTGCTTAAAAGATACACCCGAGTCTCCTGGTCTTCGCTTCTGAGTTTCCTACACTTTAGAAGAAAAAGTTCACAACAATGGTATTATGATATGTTGATAATTTAACATGTTTTGTGTGTTTGTGTTATGTACGCATCTACGGTGGAAACAAATTTCCTCTCGAGGACAAATAAAAATCTATCTATCTATCTATCTATCTATCTATCTATCTATCTATCTATCTATCTATCTATCTATCTATCTATCTATCTACAGTATCTATCTATCTATCTATCTATCTACAGTATCTATCTATCTATCTATCTATCTATCTATCTATCTATCTATCTATCTACAGTATCTATCTATCTATCTACCGTATCGATCTATCTATCTACAGTATCTATCTATCTAAAGTATCTATCTATCTATCTATCTATCTATAGTATCTATCTATCTATCTATCTATCTATCTACAGTATCTATCTACAGTATCTATCTACAGTATCTATCTATCTATCTATCTATCTATCTATCTATCTATCTATCTATCTATCTATCTATCTATCTATCTATCTATCTATCTATCTATCTATCTATCTATCTATCTATCTATCTATCTATCTAAATACCAGATGTAAACAGAGCCTCAGACTGTGATTCCACTCACTATATCAGCATCCTTTTTCCTTCTCTTCTTGCGGTCTGGTTTGGGAGCCTGTGGGAGAAAAATAGCCAAATAAACACAGTGGATTGAATGAGAAAACCACGAATGGACAAAAATCTGTTACACATTTTGTTGCTATGAGGAACTGGACGCATTAATCCTATGCACTAAATTATATTCCAGCCATTTTAAAATGTAGAGGCATATTTTTCAACATCAATCTACGTTTTCAATCTACTATTACATATTGCCTGGCATATTCCTTTTAAAATATTTTTTTAATAATTATTATTTAAATTTTACATTTATTTAATGTTCATGTATAGTGCAGCTCACCTTGCTCTGTCCACTGCTGTCCAGAGGTTTGTGTTCGGTCATGAACTCGTCCAGAAAGACTTTAAAGGTGTTGACCCAAACTTTGACCGGCGACTCGCTCCAGTCCCTCTGCTCCTGACGCATGTTTTTCTCCAGGATTTGCTCAAAGAGGGCATAGAGATCCTTATAACGAATGCTCTTCCCATCGTCCATCTGCAAACAGAGCAAAAACAATACCTCTGATTCTGATGTAACAACAAGCATTACATCTCTTCCATGCCATTAGCAAAGACACAATGTCCGAAAGTCATGTATTATGATGAAAGATGAGTGACAGTGATAACATTAGCTGTTTTTCCATCCAAAGTTGTGAATTTAACTTGCGCGCAAAATTGGAATATCGCATAAAAAAAATTGTGTTCAAGAGAACAAAATCCCCACTTCCTGGGAAATTGGTGTAAAATATCAGTAATAAAAATGGAAGTTGCTGCAATCAGGGAAGAAACTGTGGCTCTTTTTCCCTCCATCATGAATGAGTTCGTCTCAGAGCGTCAGACGAAACACAATAAACGCTGTCATGTTCTCTTGCGTTTGGATGCTGGTGTTCGGGAACACAATCGTGTGAGACGCTTCTGGAGGGAATTAAACCAAATCATTCTGATCACAGACTTTGGCCCTGTCCCAAATGGCACACTCCGGACTTGTGGACTTCCTCAGAGTCCACACTTCGGTGACGTCATGTAGTGTAGACCTATAGGGCCCTTAGCGCGAGTCCGCGAGGGCGCATTGAGAGGTATTTTTGGGACAGACTCGATCGTCACGCCGGAAACAGGAAGACGGTATGATTGTTGTTATGGACAGGAGCTGCAGGTTCGGGGAAATATGCTGCCTATTGTTGTTGTGTTTACATATGACTCAGTAAAGCCCTGACACTCTGTTCTATTTATTTAATGAATCATAATGCGATCGTATTATTCAGCTCGCTATTATTAGCCTATGTTTGAGACATCAACCACTGGTCGATGATCATAATGTTTGTATAAACTTGTCATAAAAACCGTAATGATAATTACACTTAAATATTTTCTTCTCAGCCATGTTAACAATTGTCCGTGAGCGAAATCTCCTCCCATCCGTTGTCTGATTGGCCTTTCGCAAGGATTCCTGGGTAGTTAAAGTGTGTGGAGCCTGCATCTATACGGCTTCGCGGAAGACTGCTTCAAGGGTACACAGGGGGCGCTGCTGAGCACACTTCAGAGCGTTAAAATGGGGCAGCCTACGGACTCGTAGAATCGGCGAGCACACGCAATTTAAGTCCACGAGACCGAAAGTCCACATGAAGTGCGCCATTTGGGACAGGGCCTTTGTTTGACTTTGGTGTTTCAGACCAACATTTCAGATGCTGTGATGCGATTGGTCCGCTGGTTAGTCCAGTTATCCAATCACAGCCTCTGCTGAGGCAGTCACATGACTTGTGTTGCACATCGAGGAATTTATTCGGTAGATGTGTTTCCATCGTAGATTATGCGCATGTTTTAGCGGATAAAAAGCATTATCCGCCTCAATTGAGCGCATACGTTTTTTTTTATGCGCAGTTTTAGAATTTATAATTCCATCCAGCATTTTTTTAATGCGATATCCCAACCTAGGTGGAAACATAGCAAGTAAAACAAGTGCTTTATTACGGTACTTACAGCTAAAGCTGTGGAGTATGAGTTGAAGATATTCAAGCGGAACTCCTTTAGCGCCTTTTTGAAGACAACATCCACCATTGTGTCTTTCTTACCATCTTCTGTGTCCAAATCAGTAATCTATGAGATTAAAACAAGGTTATGATGGCTCAATAAATAAACGCAGCTGTAGTAAATTCACACAGAAAACAGGCACGCACCTTCTTCATGAGGAAGTCGTTCATGCTCCTGTAGTCGTTGGCACAGGTGAGTATCTGCAGGGCATCGTTCTGCCACTGGACCGGCTCGAGAGCCACACTGCTGATCTTCACACTGCGCCTGCGCTTCACTTTAGGGGACGGCTCTTTGTTCTCCTTAAACTCCCTCTGTAGTGTAAGGTCTGGGCTTTGTGGAGGGGAAATGCGATCTATTCCAGGAATAAAGAGAATAGCAATGCTTTAAAGGTGCAGTGTGTGATTTTTAGCGGCGTCTAGTGGTGAGTTTGCGAATTGCAACCAACAGAAGTTACGGTGGCCGACAGGAAGTGATGTCGTCGTCTGAGACAGCAGAGAGTAGCCAGTTCAGCAATGAGGTTTCTTTACAAAGATTAAGAAATTGTGTTTACTTATTCAGTAAAATGATATGTTATTGCGAATATTATTGTTACTTGTTCATCATTGTGTCAGTGTTTTATTCGCTGACTTTAGCTAGCTTCTTTGCACGAAAAACAACAGTGACGAAACGCGTTTGTCCGTTTAGGGCCACTGTAGAAACATGACGGCGCATTTCAATGTAAGGGTAATAAAAACATAACGGTTCATTAAAGGGATACTCCACTTTTTTTGGAAATAGACGCAGCGCCTGAAAATAGTCCCGTTGTGTTGACGGAAGGTGGCCTATTTTCAGGCGCTGCGTCATATCATTACGCCTGCTGCTCTCATGGTACGGCAGTAAAGTTTCTTGATTATTACGCAGGAATGAGAGTATAGTTCCTAGCCATATCAGCCTAAAAAATCGCAACTTTACATTTTCCGTCGGTCTTAGTGCACGATGTAACTACAGAAGAGTCAAGTTTTAAATAGGAAAAATATCGAAACTCTTTGGTCATTTTTTTTTGAGAAATGCTAATGGTCTTGTCCACTTCAATGATGTATGCTAAGCTATGCTAAAAGTGGTACCGCCAGAACCGGAGATCGGCTGAATGGATTCAAAAACGGTAAAACTCAACAGTTTAACTCTGGGGGAGTTGTAAAATGAGCCTATTTCCAAAAAAAGTGGAGTATCCCTATAAGTTAGCTTTTTATACAACACTGAAAACATAGTTATGTATATGATATTGCATTTCTGTCAACAGATCCTCCTAAATATTATACAATGCACCTTTAAGTAAGCAATAAGGTACTCGAAGGCTAGTGCTCTATCGTGAATAAATCACGTGACTTGTTCACGATACAGCACTAGTCTCGAGTACCTTATTGCTTAAAAATCACTAAAAGCCTTCCTTCCGCTGGAAAAAATAGTCCCTGACCGTGAACAGCAACAGTGTTTTGCCTTTAGATGGCGCCAAAGACTGTCTTTTTGAGTGAGACAGTCAGTAGAGAAGACGTTGCTAAGAGTGGTTGCTAGGGGTGATGTGTAGTGATACACAGAACCGTTGGGTGAAGCGGCCATATAGAGAGCCTAAGTCCCTCCCCTCCGCTTCCGGCTCACGGGACCTTATTTCGGAAAAAAATATGTATGGTAGTCAATGGCGAGAGACAACTTATCTTTTTATTCCATCTGAACTGTGCCCTGAATTACACATATGATGTTTGCCAATTTAAGTCAAGAAAGTTGCAGTTTGTCATAAAACAGAAGAGTAACATTTAGTTTTGTGTGGAAATTGCTCAATGAACTACATCTCCCGGGAAGCGAAACAACGAGCGAGATCCGCTGCTCGTGTGTGTGCAGTCTGGTACAAAACACTCGATGACGGCGTAACGTTACGATTATAACGCAAGACTATAGAAGAAATGACAGACGTTAGCTTCAGTAAAGTTAGCTTCAGTAAAGTTAGCTTCAGTAAAGTTAGCTTCAGTAAAGTAAGCTTCAGTAAAGTTAGCTTCAGTAAAGTTAGCTTCAGTAAAGTTAGCTTCAGTAAAGTCAGCTTCAGTAAAGTTAGCTTCAGTAAAGTTAGAGTTAGCTTCGGTAAAGTCAGCTTCAGTAAAGTTAGCTTCAGTAAAGTCAGCTTCAGTAAAGTCAGCTTCAGTAAAGTTAGCTTCAGTAAAGTTAGCTTCAGTAAAGTCAGCTTCAGTAAAGTTAGAGTTAGCTTCAGTAAAGTCAGCTTCAGTAAAGTCAGCTTCAGTAAAGTCAGCTTCAGTAAAGTCAGCTTCAGTAAAGTTAGCTTCAGTAAAGTTAGCTTCAGTAAAGTCAGCTTCAGTAAAGTTAGAGTTAGCTTCAGTAAAGTCAGCTTCAGTAAAGTCAGCTTCAGTAAAGTTAGAGTTAGCTTCAGTAAAGTTAGCTTCAGTAAAGTTAGAGTTAGCTTCAGTAAAGTTAGCTTCAGTAAAGTTAGAGTTAGCTTCAGTAAAGTTAGCTTCATTCATTGAGAGAAAATGTGCACCTTTGGGGTTTGTAGTCTTTGTAATTACGTATTTTCACAGTCTTACACCTCAACAGTTTTACATCAAACTGCGACTTTCTTGACTTTAAAATGTATCTTTTAAATGGACAAACATCATATGTGTAATTCAGGGCACAATTCAAACGAGATCAAAATATTTGTTGACATTGACTACCATTCAATATTTTTCCGAAATAAGGTCCCATGGGTGGTCGACCGGAAGGGGAGGGGCTTAGGCTCTCTATAGTGTTTTATCCTTTTATCGTGAACAAAACACAACTATTGACCAATCAGAATCAAGGACTTGAACTAACCGTTTTATGAATGACCCAAAAGGCCTTCTCAATATGCTTGAAACATGTAATGGAGCAGTTTCCCTCTATCTCACCCTCCTCCATCAGAAGTATGGCTTCAGCGTAATCTCCTTCCAAAGTATCACTGCCACACAACAGCCGCTCTCTCGAGGTCTTCTTCTCTCCATGCTTTGCCTTCCCCCAAAACCGCATTTTACCGCGAACCCTGCAGACAATACAGAAGTTGACAAGGACCACAGGAATAGTTCACCCAAATACTTTCATTTACTTTATGTTCTAATTTCCTTTTTTTTTAAATGAACTCCAAAAAAATCTTTGCATGAAAAAGAGACCGAATCGAAAGGCACGAGAGTGACTAACGTTATGGAGTATGATAGAAATAAAAAACACTAACACTTTCGGTTATACTATTTTAATGTGTCATTGTTACAGTGTAAATAAATAAAGTTCTGAGTAATATTAAGCAACTACTTGTACTTACTATAGGGTTAGGGTAGATTAGGGTTTGGTTGAGGGTTATTACTATGGGAAGTACATGTATGTAACAAGGACACTGTAACACTTTACAATAAGGTTCATTAGTTAATGTATTACCTACCATGAACTATTTATTAATCTTTGTTAATGTTAGTTAATAAAAATCCAGCTGTTCATTGTTTGTTCATGTTAGTTCACCATGCATTAACTTAATGTTAACAAACACAACCTTTAATTTGAATAACGTATTAGTAAATGTTGTAATTAACATTAATAATGCTGTAGAAGTATTGTTCATTCTTAATTCATGTTAACTACTGTATACTAATGAACCTTATTGTAAAGTGTTTCCAAAAACACTCAATAAAATAGCTTGGACATTCTGTCTAATATCTATTTCATAAGAAAAAATACCAGTGCTGGAACAATATGAGGGCGAGTAAATGAGTATTTTAGTCTCTTGAATGTTCAAAACTACTCCACAACTAATTGTTTGCACCTTCCGTCTCCATGAGAGATCTTCCTCGCGTCACTCTTGCCCAGCTCTCCGGTGGACACGGTCTTGTACATGTTCTTCGGCTCTTCGGCGGCTGTGGCCGGCTGAAACACATTATTATAGCAGAGCATGTGAGCAAAGATCTCCGACAGGCACGCTTGGTCTGTCAAAACCTCTTTAATAACTCAATATAAACCCTTAAACGAACTCTTTGCCTCTTCCTTTCACTTCAGCCACCATTTGCCGGAAGATAGTGTCACTTTAAAACATGTACAGTGCGCACAGAGTAAAACATGTTGCTTCTTGACAGTCTGAAGGCACTAAGTGGTTAAATCAATTTCTTCTACAACACTAATGCACTAATACTGACCAGCAGCACACAATGAAAGTGCACTTTAATGATAGCATATGACTAGGACACACACACACACACAGAACAAAAACTAAAGTTAAATGGGTCATTCTACAAAACGGGTACCTTTTGTGAACTTAAAACAATAATAAATTATGTATCGTGCTAAAGTTCATTTATTTCGGTAATTCAACTTAAAAGGTGAAACTAATATATTATATAGACTCATTACATGCAAAGTGAGATATTTCAAGCCTTTATTTGTTATAATTGTGATGATTATGGCTTCTGAAAACCTTTTCACAATATTCTAGTTTTGAATTTGGGGTTTTCATAAGCTGTAAGCCATAATCATCACAATTATAACAAATAAAGACTTGAAATATCTCACTTTGCATGTAATGAGTCTATATAATATATTAGTTTCACCTTTTAACCTGAATTACTGAAATAATATTTTGCACAATATAATAATTTTTCGAGTTTCACCTGTATATCTTATATCTTAAGCACAAACCAATAATAGGCAAGTCAACTAAAAAACTGTAACCCTTGTTAGTCGAGGTTAACTTGCATTAATGTAATTACCGCTTTGATATGGAAGAGGCACCAGTTTCACACAAAGACCCAGATAATGACTGAACCGACCATATGCACGAAGCGTTATTAAGAACGTCTGCAATAATAAAAGCCAGCTGGAAAACTTCCGGTGAAATATCACTTGTTGGTGTGTCGTATCTTCAATGTCCTGAGGCGGCTTTAACAGCATCAATAGTGTAAAACTTAGTTTATAATAGGAATATAGTCACTTAAATACTCAGGCCTAGCATTCATTTAGTCATTCAAACGTTAAACAACATAAAGACGCGTCTCTTAGTGTTCCTCCTCAGCAAAAAAAGCGTCAACGTTGTAAATTAAAGATTTATTGTGCACTTTAATAAAGATTCATTGAACAAAATGGGCGTTTCTGTGATTATAAAGGGAGATGCGGCGCTCGCTTTCTGCGTAAGTCATTCACAGGTTGAAGAAAAGTTGTTTTTCATGAGACTTAGTGACTTTTCCTACTTCACACTTCACTACAAAAAGTGCTAAACTTTGACAATTTATTTTGAAACGTAGTGATTTTACAATGTTTAATATTCATTCAAAAGCGAAACGTGTGAAAAAATATTACACAAAGTGGCTAATCTGAGCCAAAAAATGCTCCTCTGCCTCCATCTACTGGTTATAGTGGTAATTAATGTCTTTTTTATTCTTGTTTTCTATCAAATGTTGGATTTCCTACATCTTGAAACATTCGGTTTAACAAATAGGGTTATGAGGAAAATGAACAATTCATGCTTTTGCTCATCACGTTAAAAATAACATTGGAAGCGCTGGAGAAATGTAATGTCCAATTACAGACTGCGTTTCTTATTCAAACATTCCCATTAGTCTTGAATGCAATCAATAAAAATGGTTTATTGGCAAATTAGCCAAGTGAGATAACTACATTAAAATATAAATACATTAAAAAGTCAACCAGTGATGGTTCTGTGTCGATGTTCACCGGAAATGCCCAAGCTGGCTTATCGAAAACCAGGAAGTAACCGTGCATGTGGTCAGTTCTACTGTACTGTTAATCAAGAAGAGTGGAAAGTGTGTTAAAAACAGGGCTACAGAAAAAGAAAAGAAGAAGCACAGCTCCACAGCTTTAGCCTGGTGGCAGAAGAAGAGACAGAGCTGGATGTTAATGCATTGAAGAAAGCAGAATCTCACAGATGAATGTCTTGGTTGTTCAGGAAGAAGTAAATAGCACAGCTGTTATGTGTAGGCAAGCGGTGGTCATATCGTGAAGAGTGCTGTGGGTTACACATCTCACAAATGCCTTTATACATCAGGAGAGGAAAGCAAACTTCTGATGGAAGTTATCCAGATCTGTGAGGCTGATTCATGCGCCAGTGTATTGATGAACAGTTCTGGCTCTGGTGCTGGACAACTATTAAATCGCATCCAAAATAAAAGTTTGTTTACATAATAATGTGTGTGTAGTGTATTGTGTAGAATTATTTTGTATACATAAACACACACATGCATGTATATATTTAAGAAAAATGTGTTATTTTTATATAAAATATTTAAATGTATGTACAATATAAAATATGTGCATACAGTATATACATGCAAATACTTCTTAAATATATACATGCATGTGTGTGTGTGTATTTATATATGCAATATAATTATGCACAGAACACGAATGAATGGAATTCGTGTTTCATTCATATATATCATGATATTTCATAACTAGATTTGGAGCAAATGAGCTGTTCCGCTGGGTCCTAAAGTCAGTATGCATTCGGATACACATGTAGACATTATAAAATAAATTTTTGGTAAAGTTGTAGCATTTTTAGTTTGAATTTTTAGCATTTACTGAAGCATTCCTCGCATTCCATTTAATCGTATTTTTCACCTTTTTTTTTTTATATAAAAACACAAACTTATATTTTGGATGCGATTAATAGTTGCCCAGCAAATAATAATTTTGTTTTTAAAAATGCATTAAAATTAGGGTAGTCAAAGTTAACATTACCTCATGAGAAAAACAAGACAAAAAAAAAAAAAAACGAATTAGGAAATGATTTTGGCAGAAGACCACCAGCCATCACAGATAAGAATAGTTTTCAAAAGGTGTTTGGGCATCTGTGGCTGAAGAGTATCTCCTTGAGCTGGATAGAGAGGGAGTGTAGAAGCGTTTCAGGTGGTCAGTAAGGAGATCTATCAGCGTCTTCTGGAAGAGTTAGCTGTCGAGAGAGAGAGAGAGAGAGAGAGAGGCCTGCGTGCGCTACCATTGAATTACCATTTCCGAGTCACTGTGACACGCCTCTAGAGGAGTCTCATCACACTCCTCCTCCTCTGACTCCCCCTCGATTGAGCCACGGGTCATGAAGTCTGAACGTGTCCGCGCCATACGGGCTTTTTTATGACCCGGTCGGCCAACCTAATCAACCAGATGATAACAACACAAGTGAAGCTGCTACCTCGTACATCGAGGTCAGGTGACCCCACCAAGAGTCAGAAAGAGTTCAAAGACAAATGTATTCATTAGTGAGGGGGGAACGAAATCCTGAGGTCAACATGACCCGAAGCCCTAAAATCATACTTTTGTGTCCAGAAAGCTTATTTTATTTCATTTCGATCATTTTGCAATTTTTCTGCAATGTTTTATTTTATTTACCTTCAAATTATTAGATTTGATCAATAAATAAATAGTAATGTAAGCGCATTCCTCACATTCTTTCAACTTAAATTCAAAATAACTCTCGATTTCATGCAAAACCCTTTTAATTCAGCTCGAAATATCTTACATTGGGAGTCTTTATCGACCTCTTGAGGAAAAAAATAATAATATAACATGATATTTCATGACTCTTGCCACTAGATTTGGAGCAAATGAGCTGTTCCGCTGGGTCCTAAAGTCAGTTCCTTCATTCAGATACACATGTAGACATTATAAAATACATTTTTGGTAAAGTTTTAGCATTTTTAGTTTGAAATTTGAGCAGTTTCTATGTGTACTGAAGCATTCCTCGTATTACATTCATTCGTAAGGGGGTCAAATTGACCCCCGAGGGAAGGATTTGTTACTTTTTTTTAATTTCAACCACAACACTCCTCGAAACCATTACATTTTTTCTGTATTCGTGGTTCAAGTGTGACAAAAGTCCTAGGGTCTTGAACCCCTCTGATAAACACTCAGTTTGTAATTTGTAAAGTGACCCGAGGGAAGGATGAGGGTTTAAAGTCTGCCGGGACCTGAAGTGTTTCTCTTACCTCACTCTTAGTGGGTTTGTAACCCAAAAGGCTCATTTCGTCCTGGACTCCTGGGGTTTTCCCTTGATTGGCTGTGTCCTTATCCGACCTAAGAGAAGTTCAAGGGTTACAGGGTTTCTGCAGGTTTAATGATGATGGTAGATTTAAGACCTTGTTTTAGGGAAGGGAACACACACTGCAAAAAGCGACCAGTTCTTAACTTGAAAAAAGTTGCCTTAAAATGATTAAGTAAATAAACTTCATGCTTAATAAAGTTTTAATAAGCTTAATTTTTTCTATTAATGTGGAATTGTCAACTTAATTGTTCAATTAAGCATTACGTTTATTAACTTAATCATTTTAAGACAACAGGTTTACTAAAAAAAATGTAAGTAAGTGAACCGAACACTTTTTACAGTGCACAACATGTCAATATGTTCTCTTATTGCAAATGTCTAGGCATCACACAATGAGTCGCATTCTCAACACTTGTACAAAACACAACTTTCTACCAATCTCCATTACTTTTTAATTCATTTTACAAAAAAAAAATTAGCCTAAGGCTTGAATATCTCTGCTCCCAACCACAAGAACTTGCACTGTACATTGTGATCACACGGACGCTCTCAGGATTTTTGTCGTTTTCCAGTGTACATGTGTAAAATTCTTGAATCAAGATGCATTTAACTTGAGAAGCAATCAAGTCTCGTTTTCGGTAAAATTGAAGCAAAAAGTGATTTTGTGATTAAAACAAGAACAAATGCCTGCCAATAAGCTCAGAAAAATATATACTTCATTTAGTTTAACCAGTTTTCATTCCCAACTGACAGATACTTGTTTTTTTTTAAACTTAATTATGTTAAATGTTTTTAGTAAAAAAGCCTAAATATCTTCATTTTGCATCTCAAGTAAATGTATCTTGATTTAAGTATGTTTACAATGATCTGTACTTGAAAACCAGACAAAAAATATTAAGGAAGATTTTTTTTTAAAATTGCAGTCCATTTAACATTTAATGGCACGACTTTACGAATTTGAGACTTTCTGCTCTGATTTAGGACCTTTTTAAGGCCTTATTTGGGGTGAATTAATACTTTTAAAAAGCATTTGGTGCCATCATTTACAAACACATACAAGCTTCTTTTCTTTCGCTTTGCGTGCCAAAACAGTTCACACGTTTATGCATATTTACAGACGCCATCTCAGGAAGCCTCACGCTAGGTTTTGACGTTAATTACATCTTAAATTTGACTCAAAGTTATTGGGCCCTATTTTAACGATCTGAAACGCAAGTATCAAGTAACTTTGTGGGCGGGTCTTGGGCGCTGTTGCTATTTTACCGGCGGGATAAATGACTCTTGCGCCCGACGCACGTTTAAAAGGGGTTGGTCTGAAATAGCTTCATTATTCATAGGTGTGGTTTGGGCGTAACGTGAAATAAACCAATCAGAGCGTCATCCAACATACCCTTTAAGAGCAGGTGCGCATGTTGCATGGCGGATTGTTATTATTACGGCGGATTTAGCAGGCGCGCGCCAGGACCGGTTCCCAGCCGAGGAGGAGACCGACGTTCTTGTCGGGGCCGTGAAAGACAGAGAAGTGACGTTGTATGGGGACATGAGATTTTTTTTTTTCCTGGTTCTTGACGGACAAACTAATTTGTCAGATGTCCTTATATACATGTGTCCAGCCACTATTGGGCAAACAGTTCTGATCCGTCATTACTACAATTAGCCTGAAAAATTTGGACAAATGTGTAAGCTAGATTTAGGCCTACATTTTTTTACATCTTCATGGACACCACAATGATTTCCCTCATGTGTTAATATTTTTCCTTGTTATAATGTATGATTTGCAAAAATAAAAACTTCTGCATCTGTGTTGATGAGAGAATCAAAGTGTATGCGCGTTGTGCACCCGCTACATTATGGCCAAGCATGCGCGCTTAAAATAGCATTATGAACAACGCGCCACTGACTTTAGACTAGGTTTGTTCTGGTCAGTGGCGGAATAGTTTTCTGGAACTGCAAAATAGCACTAGGGAATGTTTGCGCCGAAACACGTCTCCTTTTTGCGTCGACCCGCCCCGGGGACCGCAAGTTCATTTCCTAGTTTACCGACGTGCGTCTGTGGAGGGAAAAGCCCGCTTTGCGCGGGTGCAAATTAGGAATGATACATGCGTCAGTGTACAAAGTCATTTGCGCCGGGTGCAAGATAGGGCCCATTGTCTGTCTTCAAAAGACTTCTATTCAAGTCAAAGTTTTATTTCTATCTATCTGTTTTTATTTCTGACGGCTGACAGCCCCAAGTATCCACCTTAGTGGTATAGGAAAGGGCAACTTGCTAATTATGTTTGTGGCCGAGGACAAAAAGAAAATCATACATGTTTGGAATGATATAAATTTGAATATGAAATAATAATTTTGGGTAACACTTTACAATAAGGTTAGTTAATGTTTTAACTAACATGAATGAACTAACAATGAGCAATACATTTGTTACAATATTATTAATCTTAGTTAATAAAAATACAGCTGTTCATTGTTAGTTCACAGTGCATTAACTAATGTATTAGTCTGAAATTAATATCAACTAAGATTAATAAATGCTGTAGAAGTATTGTTCATTCTTAGTTCACGCTAACTAAGGTAGTTAACTAATGTATACTAATGAACCGTATTATTTTGGGATTAACTATTCGGCACCCCGAGGTCAAGCTGGAGTGAATCAATCAAAAGTAACTTTAGCTGGACAATAACTTTATTCTAGAGCTGCTGTAAAACCAAAACCATCTCCGTTACTGTAATTTCCCATTATCACTGTAAAGCTGCTTTGAAACCATATTGTTAAAAGCGCCGTATAAATGAAGGCGACTTGACTTACTTCGAGATTGCCACCTTGGGCTTTGGAGAAAAGAAAATGTTCCCCGGCCTATCGGACATGCTGACGTTGGACGGTTTAACGTTTATTCGCTTTCTGGCTTCATCTCCTCTGGATTCCAGGGTCAACTTCGGCGCCCATCCTTCGGCTACGCTCCGGCTGTCCTTCGGTCGGTCTCTGAGAAGTGAAGGAGCATCTTCTTTTTCTGAAACCAGTGTGTGTGAGCTGAGATCGGGCTCAGGTTGAGCAATGGGAGCAGGTCCGAATCTGTCTGACCTTTCTGATTCCTCTAGTCTCTGTTCAATCTTTTGCAGAGCCTCGACTCTCTGCTTCTCAAACCTCTCCCTGTCAGATTGGGCCAAATGCTTCCGCTGTTCTTCGAGGACGTGCTTCTGCTGGCGGATCTGCTCCATCATCTCTCGTTCACTCTGTCGCTGCTGATGTTTCTGACGCTCTTGCTTTTCCTCATTGAGCTTCTCAAGCTTTTCCAGCACATAAAGACTGTCTCTGCTTGGCTGCGCGGGACTGGTCTGGACGGCACTGTCTTTGACCTCGGGAAGCTTCAAATCCAGTTCATCTACGACGCTTTCCTTCTGCATGCTAATAACCACGACCATCGGTCTCCGACTCGACTCCTTGTCTTTCACAGGCTTGCTGGTGGACACATTAACGGTAGACTTCACGATTAAAGAGCTGCTTTCTGATGAAGGAGTGTAGAAAGTAGGGAGCGAGTTTAGTTCTCCGGGAAGTTGAGGTTCTGATAAGATATTAGAAGGGAAAGTGGATTCGGGAATGTTGGAGAACACATCATGTTGGTCTGGGACAGAAGAAGGAGAACCGAGATCCTCTGGTTCGGCACAAGGTGCCTTGTCTTTTAAACACTCGTCTATATTGAGTAGCTCAAAGCTGCCCTTGGAGCTCTGGCTATCCGGTGTTCCCTGAGGAGTGTGACCGATCTCGCTGACCGGATCCATTTCTCCAGTGGATCGAACCTTAAGAAGCTCCAGGCTAAATTTGGCCTGTTCCAGCTCTCGCATCCGGCGGCTTTCCCGTTTGGCCCTCGTCCTCTGGTTCGGATCCTCCAGAGTTCGGGGTCTTTCTCGGATCGCCACTTCAGACGTCGCTTGTACTATTAATAATAAGAAGAAGAATATGTTTAATTTATATACAGTCCTTCCAGAAAAACGTTTGAGGTTTTTTTGTGTTTGTAGCGGGCAAAAATCCTTGATTATGCGGCCCATTTTCTTTTAAAATGCGATGGAATATGCGGGATATTTTTGCAAAAACTGCGGTTTGATGAAAAAGAGAAAAAAAAAGTGATTCCCCCAACACCCTGTTCTCACTAGGCTACTACCTTAAAGTAAAGAGTCATTTCTTATTACTTCCTATGATAAGAAAGCATAACTACATCACAGAAAGTGCTGGGAATATTTAATTTCTCATCTTGTTTTATTTCAGACCTTAATAAACACATCATGATCAAACTTACAAAACATTGATGAGTCAAACAAGTTCTGTAGCTTTACAAAAGGAATATGCTACAACTTCTGTAAAAATGAATAAATGAAATATAAAAAAATAAAGTGTGCTCCTGTTTTACAGCTTTAGATGATGTTCACGTCGCGTAATTACGTCACTTCATAACGTTCCCATGGCAACAGGAAAGCAAATGCAACATTTTTCAACTTTCTGCTCAGATATATGTGACTTTTTTGCAATGAAAATGCGAGGAATATGAAATCATGCAAGCCCCGCATATTTTGCAGTGAAATCGGCACTTTATGCGGCGAAAGTGCGGCGTATTTGAAAAAAATGCGGCCCCCACATGAATATGCAGACTTTGGCTGATTATGCATTAAATCATGCGATCGCATAATCGCGTTTTTCTGGAGGGTTCTGTTGTGGATCCGCGTTCAGTGCCGCCGCTGACGTAAGACGCTGCTGACGTGTGTCTGGTGTGTGTGTGTGTGTGTGTGTGTGTGTGTGTGTGACGTAAGACGCTGCTGACGTGTGTCTGGTGCGCCTGAGCTTCGGTCACAGTCTGAGGGAGACGCACGCTGGAAACAAAACAATCTTCACAAACATGTCTAAGGATTTCCACACAGAGGAAGACTTTATGACCATATTTATTTGAACCCGAATACACGGACGCACCAGATACACGTCAGCAGCGTCTTACGTCACACACACACACACACACACACACACACACCAGACACACGTCAGCAGCGTCTTACGTCACACACACACACACACACACACACACACACACCAGATACACGTCAGCAGCGTCTTACGTCACACACACACACACACACACACACACACACCAGACACACGTCAGCAGCGTCTTACGTCAGCGGCGGCACTGAACGCGGATCCACAACAGAACCCGAATACACACACACACACACACACACACCAGACACACGTCAGCAGCGTCTTACGTCACACACACACACACACACACACACACACACCAGATACACGTCAGCAGCGTCTTACGTCACACACACACACACACACACACACACACACCAGACACACGTCAGCAGCGTCTTACGTCAGCGGCGGCACTGAACGCGGATCCACAACAGAACCGGAAGACAATACAATGCTGAATAAAGTCCTAGTTTTTGTTATTTTTGGACCAAAATGTATTTTCGATGCTTCAACACATTCTAACTAACCCACTGATGTCACATGGACTACTTTGATGATGTCTTTATTTCCTTTCTGGACAAGGACAGTATACCGTACATACATTTCCAATGGAGGGACAGAAAGCTCTCGGACTAAATCTAAAATATCTTAAACTGTGTCCCGAAGATGAACGGAGGTCTGACGGGCTTGGAACGACATGAGGGAGAGTCATTAATGACATCATTTTCATTTTTGGGTGAACTAACCCTTTAACTACGCCGTAAAAAAAAAAAATTCCGGGCGCGCCTTATGTACCATGTAATGGTACATAAGAGTTATGGAAAAGTTATGGAAAATGTTTAAGAAAAATATGTCATGACTGATAATACCGTTTAAACAAATGGGTTTTGAGTTGCACTATTCCCGTACCTTCTGTCTCCATCTCTTCCAGAACATCTCCACTGAGGACCGGTTTGCCCCGGTCCTGCTCCTCATAGGAGTCTTCCCACAAACCCATGTGTGTAAGCCGGTCCTCTTCTGGTAACAGATTGGTTTTTCCATTCGGCAGCTGAGTGGTTTTTAATCTCTGCTCTTGAAGTTCTCTGAATCTGAAAATTTCAAGATAATCCCAATAAAAACAGTTATTTACAATCATCAGTGTACTGTATGTATGCCGGTAAAGTAGATGTACTATACATCCAACTTTTAATATTTTGCCAGACGATAAAAGAGTTTATATTTTGCCACAGTATAAACAACGAAAATAAAAGTACCAATAAAACAACAAGAAAGGTTAGACTTTCTTCTTTCAGACGAATACAATTGGAGTTATATAGTGCAACTTACACAACTTGTGACATCAGAAGTAGTGTAGTGTGTCATGGCGTAGCGTAAACATCAGCAGTGTGTCGCATTACTCGCATAAGTTGCGCTTTAGGCTTAAGTGGAATCCGTATATCCGTTTGGCCGGAAGCTAGTTTTAAATATGAACATTTTTCTTACACAAACGCATCGCTTCGCTTCGCAAGGCCTTTATTAACCCCTGGAGCCTGTGGAGCACTTAGTGGATAGATGCACTTTAATGATGGACAGATGCACTTTTATGATGAATAGATGCACTTTAATGATGGACAGATGCACTTTTATGATGGATAGATGCACTTTTATGATGGATAGATGCACTTTTATCATGGATAGATGCGCTTTTATGATGGATAGATGCACTTTTATCATGGATAGATGCACTTTTATCATGGATAGATGCACTTTTATGATGGATAGATGCACTTTTATGATGGATAGATGCACTTTAATGATGGATAGATGCACTTTTATGATGGATAGATGCATTTTTATGAGGGATAGATGCACTTTAATGATGGATAGATGCACTTTTATCATGGTTAGATGCACTTTTATGATGGATAGATGGACTTTTATCATGGATAGATGCTCTTTCATGATGGATAGATCCACTTTTATCATGGATAGATGAACTTTTTTGAGCTTCAATCTGATGGTTGCAATCCACTGCCATTATAAAGCTCGGAAGCGTCAGGGTGTTTTTTAATATAACTCCGATTGTATTCGTCTGAAAGAAGAAAGTCATATACACCTAGGATGGCCTGAGGGCGAGTAAATCATGGGCTAATTTTCATTTTAAAGTGAACTACTCCTTTAAGCAATTTGTCTGAACAGTGAAGCCCTCTATAGAAAGCGTACCTCTGCCTCGCCAGATATCCTCGACCCGTTGCTTGCATGCGGATAGTGGCGTCCCGCTGCCTGAGGTAAAGCTCTCTGGTCCTGTATCTTCTCCATTCAGTCTGGATCCGGAGAGCCGCTCGTTCCCGTCGACACAGCCTCCAGTTTCTCTGGATCAGCACGACTGCTTCTCTCCACAGCATGAGTCTACGCCTCTCTCTGAAGCCTCTCCAGGCCGACTGAACACACACCGCTGCCTCGCGCTGGACACGCGTCTCGTACTCAAGCCTGCTGTCAATCTGAGACGACTGAACGTTCCTCCACCAGCTCTACACCAGACAACAGCAAAGAAAGAGACACTGGGTCACATGCATTTAGGACAAGAGAAAAGGAGAGAGAAAAAAGGCTTTTCATAATTTTTTTCACATGCACTTTTTAGAAAATCAGTACTAAACAGTTATTTTACTACTTTGAGGAAATGCCAAGACGTCAATGTAAATATCTATATTCTATAATATAAAAAAATAATAAAAAAAGATCCAGTTATGTCATAGACTTCCAATACTGAACTCCAGTAAGGTGGTGATGCAATTGCATGTATTGTTGGCGGATTAGAAGTAATATAAATATAAGAGTTGCATGCTTTTTAGGTAATTTATGAACTAAAGGTGTTTATCTTGTTATTTTCTTTATTTAAGAATAGTGTTTTTATTTAGTTTAGGAAAGAATGTTTTAGGATCCATTTATGTTATAGATTTCCAATACTGAAGAGCAAGTCTATCCACATTAGCTACGTTTACATTGACACGTTTTTATTTCAATCAGAATTAATTAATTCTGATCGATGAATCGAACGTAGTGTTTACATGAATGCTAAATAAAGTGATCGGGTTGATATGCGCGTTCATATGTCACAAGCTTTAAATTTGATTTGATTTTTTTTGGTGCTGGGCAACTATTAATCGCGATTAATCGCATTCAAAATAAAAGTTTGGTTTACATAATATATGTGTGTGTACTGTGTATAATTATTTTGCATGTATATATTTAATAAAATGTGTTATTTATATATAAAATATTTGTATTTATATACTATAATTTAAGTATAAATGTATATACATGCAAATATTTCAACACTATATACATGCATATGTGTGTATTTATATATACAAAATTATTATACACAGTACACACATATATATTATGTAAACACAAACTTTTATTTAGATGTGATTAATCATTGCCCAGTGCTTTTTTTCTTCTTTTTTTACATGCACACTGCACAAATATACAGTTTCTCGCTGTTTGCAGATACTAACCCTTCTCCTACATTGCTTCTTTAGTTTGTTTTAAAGAGCAGACTTAATATTGATCTGTTTTGGGTTTTAATTAGGAGACGACGAGCACATGAACCGTTGTGTTGTGCTGCTTATATTTATCAAGCAGTGAAAACGCCCCTTCCTGCATCTAAAACATGCGTCTGTGGACGAGAGACAGAAACGAGGACTGGTGGGACGTTGTTCTGCTCCACTTCACAGACGATGAGTGGAAGGAGAATTTGAGAATAACCCGACAGTCATTTATGACACTCATTCCATGCGTCATACGTAATTTCGTCCATTTCTACATCATTGCACACGTGCAGAACTTTCCAGATTCGGGTTTCAATCCGATCATGTGTTTACATGTCCTCTCGATCGGATTCAGAAAAGAAATAAACCACCCCTTACAATCCGAATGAAATTTTAATCGGATTTGGCCCATTCATTCCGATTGACTTTTTTATTCCGACTGTGCTTATAATCCAATTCAATTTTTTAGGGATTATTATTATGGTTAACACAGCTATTTTTAAAATAAAATACCTTGAATGATCACTTCAGAGTTAAAATAATATTTAATACTAAATGCAAGTACTTCCGCTGTTTACATGTCAAAAGTCTAACCCAAATACCACAGACAAGGATCTCACACCTTCTTCCCGATGAACGAACTTCCATGAGTCATTCATGATAACAGGATAATCATTTCAGCATTAAACAGAAACAAATTAAATTGAAACTACAAAAAAATACATTGCCAATAAAAAAAAAAAAACATGACTTTTGATTATGCAACTAAAATAGCAATAGCAATCCTGATATTTCCAGGCTAATGATCATCAGGATAATGATTTTATCATTAAACAGAAACAAATTAAATTGAAACTACAAAAAAAAAAACACATTCCCAATTAAAAAAACCCCAAAAACCTACTTTAATTTATGCAACTAAAATAAAAAAATAGCACTCCTGATATTTCCAGGATAATGATTTTATCATTAAACAGAGACAAATCAAATTTAAACTACAAAAAAAACACATTCCCCAAAAAAAACAAAAACTTTTATTTATGCAACTAACATAGCAATAGCACTCCTGATATTTACAGGCTTTCCGTTTAAAACATTACTGTCACAAAAGAACCCGGAGTTGGTAAGCCGAGACGTACCTGGATCTGGCACGCCGCCTGTCTCATTCTGATGAAGTGGTTCCTCTCCAGAAGAGCTCTGAAGCGCCGCTGAAGAGTGACGATTCGACGCAGCACCTCCTGATGGAGCAGATCCTGCAGTCGCTGACGCTCAACTTCACGGAGAAACACCTGACACACACACACACACACACGTCACACGCATGCAATACTGGACTTTTACACCCAGGCTAGCCATGAATGGACAGTATGTGTCATCCAAAAGGCATCAGAAAAAGTTACACAGTAGGAATTTAATTAAGTCCCATCATCGTACCATGGTTCGGCCCACTTGAAACCCTTCGGGAGTGAGGTCCACCTGGCTCAGGTACCGTCTGATGGAGTCCTGGCGGGCCTGGCTGGGTCCCTCGGGTAACAGCACATGAAAGTGGCGAACAAAATCCTGGAGGACATAAAACAGATTTTACGCCACCATAACCTATCTATATCTTTGATGGCGCGCGCACACACACACACACACTCATTCACTTTGTGAAGTGTCCAGGAAGTGACATTTCTCATTAAGGCCTAGAAGCGCAGAACACTAGCATCACTGTGATGGTATGAAGTCTCCGGGGGTGGACAGTCTGGGATGCCGGTGTGTGTGTATGCAATTATTCCTGGCCACTTTTATTGCAGACTATAGAGAGAGAGAGAGGCTCTGTGAAGTCCGATAACTACTCCAGCTTCATATCTTACAGGAGTTACCGGAGGCGGCGAAGGCACTCGTGTCTCAAAATGTTTAATAAAGGTTATACGGTAACACTTTACAATAAGGTTCATTAGTTAACATGAACTAAGAATGAACAATACTTCAATAATTCACCTTAGGTAATATTAATTTCAACATTTACTAATACATTATTAAAATCAAAGGTTGTGTTTAACATAAGTTATTAATGCACTGTGAACTAACATGAATGAACAGCTGTATTCTATTTTTATTAACTAATATTAACAAAGATGAATAAATACTGTAACAAACGTATTGCTCATTGTTAGTACATGTTAGTTAATACATTAACTAATGAACCTTATTGTAAAGTGTTACCGGTTATACTTTATTTTGTGTGTAATAACAAATATTAATAAATACTGTAACAAATGTATTGCTCATTGTTAGTTATGAAGAGTTCGGCAGAATTTTTACACATTTTCCATTTTAAAACTGCATATAAACCCTGGTTCTGGTTTCAATTGTAATATCTAACATAGTATTTAAAAATATATTTTTCATTTTTCTTGTCATAAGGGGAAAGTAATGCACACAAAAGAGTCCCACATTCATGTGAAGGCCATTGTACCCGATATAAACAATAGTAATAGTAAGGCTTGCCTTAACAAACACTATGAATGATTGAAAAGAGAGATAACTCTGTTTGAATTGTCAGTCATTAGGGTAGAAACAAACTCTATTTGCATAAACTGCATGATGCAGTATGTCTGGGTTTCAGATGGTAGAAAAGGCCAGAACAACACATTCATCCCCAGACGGCCACACCCAGGACAGGAAATGACAACGGGAAATAATGAGCTTTGGAACGGCAAAAAAAAAAAAAAAAAAGGATAAGGAATCAGAAATTAAGTTTGGAGGAAAGTACGATTTTTTTTTTTTTTTTTTTTACCCCTGTGGTGAAAATCAAGTCATGTTGTTTATATGACTCTGTGGTGTTTTTAATATGCTTTAAGACAAAACATGTGCCAACATTCATAAGTCAACACCATTGCTGAGTATTTTCTCCTTAAAACCAAAGACAGTCTCAGTCTTTTATGATGTTATGATCATAAACTACATGCTTATCTCCACTGACTTTCTATGATATTCAAAGCGTTTCTAAGATGATGATTATTAGAAGGGCAGCTGTCTGACTCTGAGATGGTAAACGGGAACATGACTATGTTATCAAACAGCTAATAATGTGTTGTTAATGTTACACAAACCAAGCAAAAAGCTAGTCATATTAATTACCGTTATGTGCCTGAAGAATATAAAACACTACATCGGCTCTTCCACTTCTTCTAAATCAGTGGTTCAAACATATATGGCTGAATTACACCAATATTGTCACTATGTAGCGTTTACTACAGTAAAGCTGAGCGAGTGGATCAGGTAATCCGAGCTGCTGTGAGTGAGTGAGTGGAGGTGGGGCTAATTTGCATATTCATGAGCACGCGTTTACTAAATGAGGCAAGGGTGTCGAGTTACATTCAAGGTATTTCAAATTATTTTCACAGGAAGAAGCATTAAAATATGTAATTTAGATTATCAAAGATGAGTTTTAATAGAAAAAATTATTGACTGCAGCGGGACTTTAAGAAATTAAAGACTTTTTTTTTAAACAAGGATGCATTAAATTTATAATCACCAGTGTAATCCCAATGGGAAAAACTGGGAGTCGTGAAAAATATGATACACCGGTGTTTTGCCAGATGAGAAGTTTGTCTATGCATCATCTTTTTACTCTTAATTAATTTTATAACTGTCTCATATATCTCTATTAGTTCCTTTTATAACCGTTTTAATTTTCCTTGCTTTTATTTTGTGATTATTTTAAGCACTTTGAATTGCCATAGTGTGTGAAATGTGCTATATAAATAAACTTAATTTAATTTAAACTTAAATAACTCAAAACATTTGATTTATTTTGGACTTTGTATTGATCAAAGAATCATCAGAATGTAGCATGCATCCACAAAACCTTGAGCAGCACAACTATTTACAACATTGATAACAATCAGAAATGATACTTGAGCATCAAATAAGCATATTAGAATGATTTATGAAGGAGCATGTGACTGAAAATATGTGATTTTATATTAATATATTGTATATTAATACAATTGTATTACTCTTTTTACTGTATTTTTAAATCAAATAAACGCAGCCTCGGTGAGAGGAAGAAACTTCTTTCAAAAACATTTAAAAACTCTTTATCATATTTTTAGACTCAGGCTTGAGATTCGAGTGTTTCTCTAGGAGAGATCAGTGTGTGTGTGTATCAGTCTCACCTGAAAAGTGTACTTGATGCTGTATCCAGATTGTCGGATCCGCACGGTTTCCAGCATGCCGGTGTAGCGCAGCTGTCTCAGCACCAGCCCATCATTAAAGCGCAGAGGCAGCTGAAGAACAGCAAGGACACGTCAAACAGTAAAAACAGAAATGCATGTAATGCACAGACGAGGTATGATTGAAATACCACACACACACACACACACACACACACACCTTCTCTGCATTTGATCGTATGCACTTCACAAAGTACGGCTCTGATTGGCCAAGCGTCTCCATCAGCTTGTTGAGAGAGGCCTTAAATGGAGCAAAACACCACAAATAAATGAATAAGTGTCTGGAAATCAACAGCATAGATCAAACCCCAAAAAACATCAATCAGAAAACTACAAATTTATATTGTATCCCTATTTCAGAACTCTCGGAATAGCATGGTATTGAATATGTAAGGGTTAATGTCCATCGTAATAGTAGTGAATCGCATCGGTTGCTGCTTATATGCATCTTTAATGTGTCGTATCGTCGGCTATGCTTCGAGACGCGCATCGCATCGGCCTCAGTTATGGAGATGATCATCCCTAGTCTATACAGAGGAAAGCAGCTATTTTGGTGGTCAGGAATTCACTCTCCCTTCCCAAAGTGAGATCTGCACAGAACAGGAAGTGAGGTCATCCACACATTAGTGCAGGCCTCGTGCCAGACGCGCCACAACTGCAGAGCGAGTGAAGGTTACAGCTCTATGTCCCAGTCTGAGACACGAGAGGAATATGTCATTCTGTCACAAAGGGATTACATTTTTTTTAAAGAAAAAGGTTTCAACATTTCTGTTTTTAAATGTACATGTATTCATTTAGCATATGCAATTTTTTTGTTACATAAATGTTTTATTAAAACTATTTTGGAAATAGATTTTTACTAGATTTTTACTTTTTCTTGACCCAGACTTTCAATCTTAAACTATGACAATCCATAATAAATGTATATTTCAGTAATTCAACTTAAAAGGTGAAACTAATTTATTATATAGACTCATTACATGCAAAGTGAGATATTTCAAGCCTTTATTTGTTATAATTTTGATGATTATGGATTATGGAAAGCAGATATGAAAAGCCCAAATTCAAAACTAGAATATTGTCATAAGCTGTAAGCCATCAAAATTATAACAAATAAAGGCTTGAAATATCTCACTTTGCATGTAATGCGTCTATATAATATATTAGTTTCACCTTTTAAGTTGAATTCCTGAACTTTTGCACAATATTCCAATTTTTCGAGTTTCACCTGTATAAACAAAGACAAATATCACTTTCCATCCTAACTTTTATACAAAATGTGTGAAAATTTTATTTCATTATATCTTCTACATATAGAATACAGAAACACAAAGGATTTAGCCATTTTATTTCGGACATCTTTAAAAAAAAAAAGGTCACCACAAAACGTATGTTGATTTGAGATGCAGTGGAAACTCTGTTCACGTTTATGGTGGTTCAGGAATAACTTTTTAAATGTTATGAATCATAGACTTTAACAAGCAGTTGTTTTTTTTCTAGTGAAACCAAAACAAAAGACTTTGGAAAGACAGAGCAAATAAAAGTGTTATTGCATCAAAGACAGACATGATGTCATTCATTTGGGTTTTACTGGGCTGTACAGGGTGGACATTACACCACAGTTACACAACACAGACATGATTCAGAAAACTCGTAGTTTGCCAACAAAGCGTCAGATCTGACCTGGAACTGGGCACTGATGCTCGGGGGTTTCTTCTTCTTGTGGAGGTGCAGCAGGGACTTCGTGATGCGGTCGTGTAACGTCAGGTTACTCAGGTACTTCAGAGACTTGACATCCAGAAAGTGCTGTAGACACCGACACACAAACACACTCAGTTAAAGGGACAGTGTGCACAAAAATCTGATTTTACAGAACCTCATGTTGTTCCAAACCCATATGAACATTCATGGAACACAAAAAGAGATTGTGTGAAGATAAAAAAAAAGCAAAAAGTAAATGGCGATCGAAAATATGGTTCATTTAAAAAAATTAAAAAAATGCCTACATGATCAATTTACTGCGTGAGCGCAGCTATAAAGCTCTAAAAAGGACAAAAAATGTATTATATGGTGCAATATTCGAAGTCTTCTGAGGTCATGTGACCGGGGAAAACACAACATTTTAAGAATTCAAGCAAATTTGCCTTCCGCACTGGTGCAAATCTCATTCAACTCGACGGCGTCAAGTTTTGTGGACACTTGGCTAAATATCTCTCTGTGTTTTACAAAAATAAATCAAACTGAATCAAAACATTAACAAAACAACAACACAAAACAAGAAAACAAAAGGCAACACAAAACAACAATACAAAACAAGAAAACACAAGGCAACACAACAACACCAAGACAACAAAACATCACTATATCACAAAACAGCACAACAACACATCAGAACAAAACATTAACAAAACAAGACAAAACAAAAAACAACACAAGATAAAAAAGAAAACAAGACAAAACAAAAGACAACACAACAAAACAATATCAAAAAACAGCACAACAACAAAACACAACACATCAGACCAAAAAACAACAATAACACCAGGTTTGGACAACATGAGTAGATCATAACAGAATTGTCATGAAGTGCTTTTAAATCACATTAAAAAAGCATGTTATGGGATTCACACCTTGGGAAGACTGGGCTTCATCTTATAGTTTTTATTCCTCCTGAAAAAGAAAAAGAAAGGCAGCATGAACACCAGCGGTTGAGAGATTGGTGTTGTGCGTGCGATCTGGAGTGAGTCTCACATGAGGATGCCGTGGGCTCGCTCCAGGAGTTTACTGCTAGTGGAGTTCAGGAAGATCCCGTCCTCCTCAGCCAAGGACCCGATGGAGGACAGGCGGTTCTGTCTCCCGTTCCACACATCTCTGACAGGGACAGCACAAACACACGTCACACACACACACACAGCATCTCGAACTCAGAGTCTAATCCTCAACCAGAGATGAATGCAAAACCATGGCGCGTTTCTTCACATAGAAGCAAAATAGACTTAAAATACTGCGTCATTTATGGTCATACACACAAGATGAAAAAAGAAACTGTAAAAGGTCTACTTATGTATGTTACACTTACAATCAAAACAAAACATTGTGCTTTTGTAAAATGCATGTTACACACACACACACAACAACATCTCTAACTCAGAGATAATTCCTCAAACTGCATTGAATGCAAAACCATGTTAATGAAATATCACACTTCAAATGCTTGAAGCCTGAGCGTGAGCATGGTTTCTCCCGAGGTTTCCTCCTCCGTTCTGTCACCCGATGGAGATTTAGTTCCTCGCCACCGTCGCCATTTCACTTGCTTGCTTGGGGACATTTAATATTCAACAATAATATTGATCCGTCTGCATTGACACCATTATATGAGAACTGAACTGAGCTGGACGATGACATCACTGTTTTCTCCAGAGCGGCTGTATGTATGTATGTATGTATGTATGTGTATATATATATATATATATACACACATACATACATACATACAGGTCAAACTCAAAAAATTAGAATATCGTGCAAAAGTTATAATTTGGACGATTATGGCTTACAGCTTATGAAAACCCCAAATTCAAAATCTCAGAAAATTTGAATATTACATGAAATTAAAAAAAATAATAAAAAAACAGAATACAGAAATGTCAGCCCTCTGAAAAGTATAATCATGCATATGTATATAGTTATATATACTAAATATCTTAGTTTCACCTTTAAATTTGAATTACTGAAATACATGAACTGTTGCACGATATTCGAATTTTTCGAGTTCCACCTGTATATAAATTAAAAACTTTTGTTTTTTTACAACAAAAAGGAACCATCACAGAACTTAAGCTGGACTATGACACTATTTTCTTCTAGATCTGCTGTACAGCAGAAACACACTGTGTTGCTTTATTGTCCTGTTATGTCTGTAAAGCTGCTTTGAAACAATCAGTATTGTAAAAAGTGCTGTATAAATAAACGTGACTTGACTTGATGTAATTGGAAACTCTGACGCTTAACGGGTTTCAAAGACATTATGGTTTCAGTATCATGCAACTTTCTGCTTTTTGTTTGGATGCTTCAATAGGTCGGTAAATTAACATTATATCAGATAGTGAAATGCGTGTTTTTTACTGTAAATTTAAGTTACGTCTGTAAAACCTCAAATGTTTCTACTGTATTTTTACGGTAAATTTCTGGCTACCACAGCTGCCGATTTTTTTTACCGTGAATTTGGGGTTTTCATAAGCTGTAAGCCATAATCATCAAAATTATAACAAACAAAGGCTTGGAATATCTCACTTTGCATGTAATGAGTCTATATAATATATTAGTTTCACCTTTTAAGTTGAATTACTGAAATAAATGAACTTTCGCACGATATTCTAATTTTTCGAGTTTCACCTGTGTATTATTATTAACTTTCTTGTGGTAAAGCTGCTTGGGATGAGCTTTGATTCATCATGTGACTCTCATCACCTCTGTGATTGGTTGTTGTCAGTTGTTGTATTACAATGGTACCAAACAAATATATTAGTACTTCAATAGGTCGATAAATTAACATTATATCAGATAGTGAGATACGTATTTTTTACTGTAAATTTAAAGGAGCTGTATGTAAGAAATTTATTTCAATTAATCATAAAATGGCCCTGAAATGTCACTAGACATTAAGAAATCATGTACATTTCAAATACTTATATAACTGACAACAGTAGTCTGGCCAGGATATTGTCATTTAAAAAGTGAAGTTGCAGCCCTCAACTGATGTTGATGTTGTCATGTTGTGTTTTGGTCTGATGCTCCACCCTCCACCAATCTACCAATCACGAAGTCAGTAGTGTTGCAGCATCCGGGTTGCCAGCTCTGCTCTAGTTACCACAGCTGCAGCTCGTCACGTTCCTGCTGGATCCTGCAGCCGATCTGGCAACCTCGAGTCAGGGAGGAGGGGGAGGGGATACACCACTCTACAGTAATTTGAAAGTGATTGCAGTACTAGTTTTGGCCACAATCTTGCATACAGCTCCTTTAAGTTACGTCTGTAAAACCTCAAATGTTTCTACCGTAAAAATTATCGTAAAAAATACCGTAAATTTCTGGCTACCACAGCTGCCGTTTTTTTTACCGTAAATTTAACCCTTTTTTTTTTTTTTTTACAGTAATTCTGACTGAATGCAGACAAGTAAAGAAGTTTACAGCGACTATTCCATGTTGATTTATTAGGATTTAGATGTAAATGTGGCTCTACAGGACATCACTGAAGCATGTGGTCATGAACTGCGGGGAGCAATTACCCATCAGCCTCGGATCTGTCCTCCAAATGAGCACATATCTCCTCTCTGACATCACACGGGAAGCAGCTGCTGTTTCCTGGGGTTTTGTGGTCTCTTCGTAACCCAACAAGTGTGTGGGGTTGCGAAACAGATTAGGGGGACTTTACAGCGCAACAAAAGAGCTGTTGTGAGCTCGGCTCTTGCCACTTGTTCTGGATATCAGGACTAATCTCAGAGCCATGCGGTCTTAATAAAGCATGAAGTCGGGAAGACCGTGGCTCATCCTTTGGGTATCTGTGAAGTCACTGCTCTAACTCTACACACACACACACACACACACACACCGAGAACTCAACAAGCCATGCAAGTACTGATGACCAGGGGCTCTTCGGACACGCTTTATTTACGCTTTTCTTTAAAAGAAAAACGTGTCAGGATAATACAGTGGGGGTTTCAGAAACCTGGCTACTTACAGTACAATCAAATTATATGCCGGTTCTCCAGGGAAATATCATCAAAACACTAGCAAAATGTTTTCAGATTTGGGCTGTGAAACGATTAATCGCATCCAAAATAAAAGTTTGTGTTTACATAATATATGTGTGTGTACTGTGTATAATTATTTTGTATATATATTTATAAATACACACACATGCAAATATATATATATATATATATATATATATATAAGAAATATTTGCATACTGTATATATATTTAGATATCATTTATATTATGTATAAATTAAGGCTGTCAAATGATTAATCGTGATTAATCACATCCAAAATAAAAGTTTTTTTTACATAATATATGTGGGTGCACTGTGTATAATTATTTTATATATATATAAATACACACACATGCTTGTATATATTTAAGAAATATTTTCATGTATATACTGTATATAGATTTATATATAATTTATATTATATATAAATATAAATATTTTATATATAAATAATATTTTTTTCTTAAATATACATGCATGTGTGTGTATTTATATATATATACAAAATAATTATACACAGTGCACCCACATATATTATGTAAAAAAATATATATATATTTTGGATGTGATTAATCACGATTAATCATTTGACAGCCCTAGTATAAATATAAATATTTTATATATAAATAACACATTTTTCTTAAATATACATTCCAATAATACTATCTAGCAGGGATTTTCACGAACTGGCTTATTATAATCACAGTATCAAGCATGAATTCACTGAGCTCTTCAGAGTGACCTATTTTTCCCCAAAAATGTTTGTAATTGCCAACAATATTCAAAAATATATACCGGTAGTGAGCAAACTGAGCTTTCTACTAGTATTTCCACACATTACTATTAGACGGTGGGCCGAACGTGCTATCGATTGGTTAGTATTTTTAATGAGTTAAAAACTACAACCCGATTGGTTCAGCTACTAGAGCTGTCCCGCGATTTGCCTAAGAAGATTGACAATCAAAACATACTTTTGTGAAAATATATGATTAAACCAGAATTGCCAACAAATTTTATTTGACTACATATAATGACATAATATCGTACATGAAAGAAGCGTATACTATCGATGGAGATCGATCAACAACACGAAAAACGCGTTCGGCCCACCGTCTATATCCTTTCACTATAAGAACTGTTTCTTCAATCATCCAGAATATCCAATGAAATGGTTTGTAAAGACAAGGACCCCCAAATATTAACATCACCCAGAGTAAGAGCCCCTACTTACAATATAACGGCAACTACATAGGTACATGTATTCAGACCCATTTATACTGGGTGGAAAAAGTATCAAGTGTGACATAACCAGTAGTGAACCATGACTCTTAAACCTGGAAATACTATCTAGCTGCCAATGGAACAAAAAAACACACTAACTTTTTACAACCACTATTGATTTGCAATCACATTTCTACAGTACAGACATGTGTATCTGTGTGAGACGCGTGACAGGACAGAGGTCAGGTGTGAAGCGCTTACCGTTGATTTATTGTGTTGCTTCCCTGCAGATCAGAGAGTGGAGAGCGAGGGTTCCTCCTGTTCACACCTGAAACACATCACAAAGCCTGTACAACCAGACTGATCCGAGACACATGGGGAACATGGGAAATGAGTGAGAGGTTATGACAGGACTGTGTAATGGTTCTCATGAGAATAACAGGACGTGATTGTGATGAATTCACTGCTGGTGATTAAATGAGACGTATGAACATTCAATTAGAGGTGAATTACTTGAAACATGCTTCTGTGAATCAGAGACACACACACGTGTTCACTTGGCTATCTAAATGGGGACATTCCATAGACGTAACGGTTTTTATACTGTACAAACTGTATATTCTCTCCCCTTACACTAACCCGACCCATCACACAAAACTTTCTGCATTTTTACATTTTCAAAACAAACCCCACTTTAATTTCTTTATTTTTATACCAGATTTACAAATGAGGACGTCCCTAAAGGTTTTTGGAGATTTTGGTCACTTCTGGGTACAAATTTGTCCCCAAAATATTGTTAAGTAGGCGCGCGCACACACACACCTGGAGACTCTCTTTCCAACTGCTCTCTCTCTCTTTCTCTCACCTCACTTCACTCACTCTCACCCTCTCACACTCACCCTCTCACACTCACCCTCTCACACTCACCCTCTCACACTCACCCTCTCACACTCACCCTCTCACACTCACCCTCTCACACTCACCCTCTCACACTCACCCTCTCACACTCACCCTCTCACACTCACCCTCTCACACTCACCCTCTCACACTCACCCTCTCACACTCACCCTCTCACACTCACCCTCTCACACTCACCCTCTCACACACTCACCCTCTCACACTCACCCTCTCACACTCACCCTCTCACACTCACCCTCTCACACTCACCCTCTCACACTCACCCTCTCACACTCACCCTCTCACACTCACCCTCTCACACTCACCCTCTCACACTCACCCTCTCACACTCACCCTCTCACACTCACCCTCTCACACTCACCCTCTCACTCTCACCCTCTCACACTCACTCTCACCCTCTCACACTCACCCTCTCACACTCACCCTCTCACACTCACCCTCTCACACTCACCCTCTCACACTCACCCTCTCACACTCACCCTCTCACACTCACCCTCTCACACTCTCACCCTCTCACTCTCACCCTCTCACCCTCTCACCCTCTCACTCTCACCCTCTCACAATCACCCTCTCACACTCACCCTCACCCTCTCACACTCACCCTCTCACACTCACCCTCTCACACTCACCCTCTCACACTCACCCTCTCACACTCACCCTCTCACACTCACCCTCTCACACTCACCCTCTCACACTCACCCTCTCACACTCACCCTCTCACACTCACCCTCACCCTCTCACACTCACCCTCTCACTCTTACCCTCTCACACTCACCCTCTCACACTCACCCTCTCACACTCACCCTCTCACACACTCACCCTCTCACTCTCACCCTCTCACCCTCACCCTCTCACTCTCACACTCACCCTCTCACACTCACCCTCTCACACTCACCCTCTCACACTCTCACCCTCTCACCCTCTCACACTCTCACCCTCTCACTCTCACCCTCTCACTCTCACCCTCTCACACTCACCCTCTCACACTCACCCTCTCACACACACCCTCTCACACTCACCCTCTCACACTCACCCTCTCACACTCACCCTCTCACACTCACCCTCTCACACTCACCCTCTCACACTCACCCTCTCACACTCACCCTCTCACACTCACCCTCTCACACTCACCCTCTCACACACACCCTCTCACACTCACCCTCTCACACTCACCCTCTCACACTCACCCTCACCCTCTCACACTCACACTCACTCTCACTCTCACACTCACTCTCACACTCACTCTCACACTCACTCTCACACTCACTCTCACACTCACTCTCACACTCACTCTCACACTCACTCTCACACTCACTCTCACACTCACACTCACTCTCACTCTCTCACACTCACCCTCTCACTCTCACACTCACTCTCACTCTCACACTCACTCTCACACTCACTCTCACACTCACTCTCACACTCACTCTCACACTCACTCTCACACTCACTCTCACACTCACTCTCACACTCACTCTCACACTCACTCTCACACTCACTCTCACTCTCACACTCACTCTCACACTCACTCTCACACTCACACTCTCACACTCACTCTCTCACACTCACCCTCTCACACTCACCCTCTCACACTCACCCTCTCACACTCACACTCACTCACACTCACTCACTCACACTCACTCACACTCACTCACACTCACTCCAACTAAAGCTGGGTGATATATTGAAAATATACCATATATGTAATATATACAAAAATATAGCAATATTTTTGGTGGCAATTAAATAAGCAACATTACAGTCACTTTAATTAGCTATTTTTATTCAGGATAGCTAATGGGTGATGTCATGTGATGTCACAAGATGCCACCCTAAAAAGCACAGAATGCTCAAGCATCATCATAGGGTAGGGGTAGGAGAACAGAAGTTTGACTTTTTCCTACTCCTTTTTGTACAGGAGTAAATAGAGAGTTTTATTTTGTTGTTAATCTGTTTTTTTTTTACCATTATTTTTTTTTCTCTGATTTTTTTTTTTATTTACATGTTCAAAATAAAGATATCAATCAATCAATCAATCAATCAATCAATCAATCAATCAATCAATCAATCAATCAATCAATCAATCAATCAATCAATCAATCAATCAATCAATCAATCAATCAATCAATCAATCAATCAATCAATCAATCAATCAATCAATCAATCAATCAATCATCCGGTCGTGATGTTGCCCATCACAGCTCGTTCAGGCATCAGAACCCCTTCTCCTCGCAGCAGATCTTAGTAATTCCTGCTGTTTTGGCTCCTTTACACATTTTATAAGCTGTTTATGGGTTCTCAGCTGGTCCCAAAAACACCAAATGTACAGACACGCGCATCTATCCCTGCACACGGCATTGGTTTGGATGTTCGGTAAGTTCCGTCGCACAATATGCACCATAAAAGCCTTTTTTGTTTGGTTTTGTATCTTTAGGTTTGACAGTGTGAACGCTAAGCGAACCAGGACTAAATGTATCATTTTCTTTGTTGGTCCAGACTAAAAGAACCGAACTACAAGCGTGAACAAATGCATTTATATTTGAATCAAATATTGAGGGTCTATGGACATGCAACATGTTCATATTAAAATTAGTAAATATAATATATAGAATGGTTTTTCACTTATATCACCCAGCCCTAAATACAGGACTGCATTACGAAGGAATGTTTCTAACAGGAAGGAATAATAAATCTTTTTTTTTTTTGGTAACACTTTATTTTACAGTGTCCTTGTTACATATGTTACATGTACTTACCATAGTAATAACAGTAAATTATGCATAATTACATGCAACTAACCAAATCCTAATCTACCCTAACCCTATAGTAAGTACATGTAGTTGCTTAATATTACTCAGTGCTTAAATGTATAATTACACTGCAACAATGACACATTAAAATAAAGTGTAACCAAAATATAGAATAGTTTTTCACTTATATCACCCAGCCCTAACTACAGGATTTAATTATGAAGGAATGTTTCTAACAGGAAGGAATGATACATTTTTTTTAAGTGTTTTGTGTGTATAGTCTATAACCCGAGCTACCTCCATCAAGCAGACCTATCGTGAGCCCGCTGTCCTCGGAGAGCGAGAGAAACGAGTGCACACTCGAGCCGGGGGACAGAGGAGGACTGTCCGAAACATATGCATGCTGGACTGAACCCAGAGACAGTGTTAGTCAGAGATTACACCGTGCAGGAAAACAAGACAGATGCAAGATGGATGAGCAGAGACACGAGTCCAATCAATCATTCTGTTATTATATACAGCCAAACCAACATCTATTCAGACACCTTTCTCACATTATCACAGTTTATTCACTATAGATTAGAAGTGGGTAACAAAATATGACAAGAACTCAGTTATCAAATCAGTTGATATTTCACAGGTTTTGTCCATCCTTCTGTTAGACTGTCTCATAAATGAATCAGGTTGAATATCAGTCAGCTGTTCAATTTAACTACACAATTAGATAATACCAATTAGATTTATAACCAATTACCAAGCAATGCTTAATGTTGTTCAGTCTGTGGTGTAAAAAGGTCGCATTAGCAATTAAAGAAAAAACACTGTTCAGGTCAAAGTGTCGGAATCATTTTTGGTCCTAAATGTTACTGGTAGTCACTGTATGAAGAACTTTTGGGTATAATATGTCACAGTTTACTTTATTTTGCTCTCCTCACTTACATAAATTAACTATAGTGTCCTGCACACACTAGTAAAAAAAAATATCAAAAAATGTATGTGACCCTGGACCACAAAACCAGTCACATGGGTATTTTCTTTAAATTGAGATGTATACATAATCTGAAAGCTGAATAAATAAGCTTTCCATTGATGTATGGTTTGTTAGGATAGGACAATATTTGGCCGAGATATGACTATTGGAGAATCTGGAATCTGAGGCTGCAAAAAAATCGAAACATTGAGACAATCGCCTTTAGAGTTGTGCATTTATGTTCACGATTGTGCTGCATTCACTCACAAAAATAAATGTTTTATATATTTACGGTAGGAAATTTACTAAATATTTTCATGGAACACTAATGATTTTTGGCATAAAAGAAAAATCGATCATTTTGACCCATACGATGTATTGTTGGCTATTCCCACAAATATACCCGTGTGACTTATGACTGGTTTTGTGATCCAGGGTGACATATCTTGTTACTGAATAATTTTTGGTTTGACTGTATGTGTAGCTGATGAGGTATGCATTTATATATTTATATAAGCGCAAGGGTCAGATTGAAGGGGCTGTGCGACATGTCTCGGCTCAGGGTGCGTGGAGTGAGGAGACGAGATGAAGGAAAGGCAGCCTTACTGTTTTTATCCTCTTTGCACCTCTGCAGGATCTCTAAGCTTCTCTGATGCACAGGGTGATGCAGAAAACTAAAGCTATCCACACTTTTCACAACTGGAGCAGCAGCATCATGCCCTTAGAAGCCAAAAAACAACAACACACAAGAAAGAGAGAAGACAGAAAAGATTAAATAGGGAGAGATAAGATGTGCTTGTCTACAAGAGTTGTCAGTCATGCTGACTATCAGCATAAAGTTTACATTACATGGACATGATTTTTGGTGTTCACACATCGGAAATGCAGTGCGAAGGAAACCCATAATGCACTCACAGTTCAAACTCACCATGTGTGAGGCATCAAAGCATAGATGAACTACTAATGCTTAAACTCGTAATTAAGGAAGAAAGGCATATAGATACTGAAAAGCTGGCGAGCAGGGCAATAGATGTCAAGCAAGAGGAGCTGGGCTAACACGGCATGATTCGCTAGCAAATATCCATACAAAGTAGCCCTAATATTGCACACTTACAAAGGTAAGATATCGAACACATCTATAGATCTTTTACACAATAGCAAAGATTGTTACACAGATCAATGTGAGTGATTGACAAAAGATACAGAGCCCTGAAAACAAACAACTCTGTTAAATGTAATGTTATGCCAAAAAGCAAAACCCTCACGTTAACCCACCAGTTATTGCAGATCACAAAATAAAAAAAATTATAATATCGAATAAAATATCAAATAAAATAATGAAACGATAAATAAAAATAAATAAATAAAAATCTTAAAATAAAATACACCACCGTTCAAAAGTTTGGGGTCAGTACGATGTTTTAAATTAAAGAATCAATTTCACCAAGGACTCATTAAAAACAATTCACTAATTGGGTGAAAAAAACATTTATTGTTAAAAAAAAAAAAAAAAAAAAAAAAAAAATCATCTCTTTTGAACGGCAGTATAAATAGCACGTTACAATATCTTACAATGAGAGCATGATATTCTATGAAAGGACGATGTGATGTAAATGTAACAGTTTAACAGCTAATTGTTTTACATACAGTATTAACCATAACTTAACTGACCACTTTTAGAGCTCTTTAGAACAGTTGCAACTTCAGGTATATCATGCAATATATCATTTATAATAAAATGCGTGTAATAGAAGTGTAATATGGTTAAAACTACATTGATCAAGTTAATTTGCACAGAATAGAATCATAAAACACTGATTTCATAACCTAAAAATACAGTCGTCAACATTTGAAGTGGATCAAAAAAAGTTCATCTAAGACAAGAACGGGTATTGTTCAAAATTCATGTTTAACTGATGAAAGGTTTTGATCCACTTCAAATGTTGACTACTGTACATTTATTAGCACAAGAGGGGTCTTGTATTTGGCAGTGAGACATGCATTGCCTGAAGAATCAGTCAAAAATCAGTACAAACTACAAGCATGTGACCAGGAACAAAGTGCATCAGGGTTTCCCACAGCACTCTGAAACTAAGCAACACACGCCTGCCGCCTTAAAGGGTTAGTTCACCCAAAAATGATGTCATTAATGACTCTCCCTCATGTCGTCTCAAGCCCGTAAGACCTCTGTTCATCTTCAGAACACAGTTTAAGATATTTTAGATTTAGTCCGAGAGCTTTCTGTCCCTCCATTGAAAATGTATGTACGGTATACTGTCCTTGTCCAGAAAGGAAATAAAGACATCATCAAAGTAGTCGATGTGACATCAGTGGGTTAGTTAGAATGTTTTGAAGCATCGAAAATACATTTTGGTCCAAAAATAACAAAAACTACGACTTTATTCAGCATTGTATTGTCTTCCGGTTCTGTTGTGGATCCGCGTTCAGTGACACCGCTGACGTAAGACGCTGCTGACGTGTGTCTGGTGCGTCCGAGGAAGACTTTATGACCATATTTATTTGAACCCGAATACACGGACGCACCAGACACACGTCAGCAGCGTCTTACGTCAGCGGCGTCACTGAACGCGGATCCACAACAGAACCGGAACACAATACAATGCTGAATAAAGTTGTAGTTTTTGTTATTTTTGGACCAAAATGTATTTTCGATGCTTCAAAACATTCTAACTAACCCACTGATGTCACATGGACTACTTTGATGATGTCTTTATTTCCTTTCTGGACAAGGACAGTGTACCGTACATACATTTACAATGGAGGGACAGAAAGCTCTCGGACTAAATCTAAAATATCTTAAACTGTGTTACGAAGAGGTCTTACAGGCTTGGAACGACATGAGGGAGAGTCATTAATGACATCATTTTCATTTTTGGGTGAACTACCCCTTTAACTACGCCGTCAAAAAAAAAAAAATCCGGGCGCGCCTGTGCCTCGGCGAACATAGCTGAACAGGGCGGGTTTTTATTTCTCGTCTCCATAAATATATCTAGTAGCCTAGTAAAGCTAATGCAGCCGCTAAAAATCAATTAATCCTTTGCTGATACGTGCTCGTCGTCATCATGGAGAGCGCAGTTCATGGTTGCATAGCAACAGCAGACGCCACGGGAGCGCAAGCGCTTGTGGAAAGAAGGAGAAAGCGGCGCGGCCGTGCTTTTCCAACCCCCCAATCCCCCCGCCCCCCGTGTGACGGCAAACCCCAGCTTAGCTAACACATTTTCTGTGGGAAACCCTGGTGCATGTAACGGTTTAAAAGACTCACCGCTGCGTTTGTCCACATGTCTCTTCCCGGCGTCCCTGAAGGCCACCATGGCTCTGAAATAGGCCCTGAGAACGGCCCAGCGGAAGGTGGCCACCGGGTCGATGCCGATCAGCCCACAGATGAAGGCGTTCTTACTGCTCTTGAGGAGCGCCACGATGTCGGGCCGCATGTGGTCCGTGTTCTTCTCTCTGAAGTCCTGCAGGTCAAACACACAGTCAGATAACTGAGATTACAGCAGTGAAGAGAGAGAGCGAGGCCCACAGATCCATATATATATTATACACTGATATACTCTATCATTCATGAAGCCAGAGAAACAGCAGTGAAGAGAGAGAGCGAGACCCACTGATCCATATATTTATACAGGTGAAACTCGAAAAATTAGAATATCGTGCAAAAGTTCATTTATTTCAGTAATTCAACTTAAAAGGTGACACTAATGTATTATATAGACTCATTACATGCAAAGTGAGATATTTCAAGCCTTTATTTGTTATAATTTTGATGATTATGGATGGCAGCTTATGAAAAACTTTTCACAATATTCTAATTTTGAATTTGGGGTTTTCATAAGCTGTAAGCCATAATCATCAAAATTATAACAAATAAAGGCTTGAAATATCTCACTTTGCATGTAATGAGTCTATATAATATATTAGTTTCACATTTTAAGTTGAATCACTGAAATAAATGCACGATATTCTAATTTCTCGAGTTTCACCTGTACATTATATACTGATATACTCTATCATTCATGAAGCGAGTCAAACATCAGTGAAGAGAGAGAGCGAGGCCATTATGTAACGCATGAACAAAGGCTTTATATTGTAAATAAGAGGTTTAGCTACTCATGAGTGTTAAAACATATAACTGATACAAGCCTCGTATATAAAACTCTACTCTTCCGTGAGCACTTAACCTCTTAAAAAAATAAAAAAAAGAATTAATAATAATTCTTTCCTTTTCCTTTAATTCCTTCTGCTACTCAGAGCAATGCCTGAACTCTGTATTTTGAGCACTTCTTGTGTTGTTTTTGCCCCTTCATGACGACTCGCTTGCTTTAGTCCTCATTTGTAATTGTAAGTCGCTTTGGACAAAGGCGTCTGCTAAATGAATAAATGTAAATGTAAGCCAGAGAAACATCAGTGAAGAGCGAGAGCGAGGACATTATGTAACGCATGAACAAAGGCTTTATATTGTAAATAAGAGGTTTAGCTACTCATGACTATCAAACTCTGCCAAAGCCGGGTTTACAGTGTGATTTTTTTTCTTTCTTTTATGATTGTTGCTTGTCAAATTGTAAGTTATGACCTCAGGGACATCTTGGGTAAAAGCCAACGCAGATTGTACCTAATATTTAAGTCATAATGTTCGATATACACTGCCGTTCAAAAGTTTGGGATCGGTGCGATTTTTAATGTTTTTAAAAGAAGTCTGTTCTGTTCACCAAGGCTGTATTTATTTGATTAAAATACATAAAAAACTGTAATATTGTGAAATATTATGACAATTTAAAATAACTGGTTTCTATTTGAATACATTTTAAAATAAAATGAAGACTGGAGTAATGATGCTGAAAATTCAGCTTTGATCACAGAAATACAGTGTCACATGATCCTTCAGAAATCACTCTAATATGTGGATTTGAAAAAAACATTGATTATTATCAATGTTGAAAACAATTGTGTACAATTTCTTTTTTCAGGATTCTTCAATGAATAGAATGTTCTATTTCATTTATTTGATATAGAATATTTTGTAACATTATAAATGTCTTTACTGTCACTTTAAGTTAAGTTTTTCGAACAGTAGTGTAAAATGTTTTCAACGTTGATAATAATCAGAAATGTTTCTTGAGCAGCAAATCATTATATTACAATGATTTCTGAAGGATCGTGTGACGCCGAAGACTGGAGTAATCAGTCATCACAGGAATAAATCAAATTTTAAAATATCTTAAAATAGAAAACAGTTATTGTAAAAATATTTCAAAATATTACTTTTTTTTTGGTATTTTTAATCACATAAATGCAGCCTTGGTGATCAGAAGAGACTTAAAAATATTAAAAATCTTACCGATTCACAATTTTATAAATACAATTTTGCAAAGTCTATGAAAAACCCAAGCACGTCTCAGTGCTACTGGTGCCAAAGTTTTACCTGGGAAACAAGACGATAGGTTTTAAGGCTTTAGCAAAAGTGAGTGTGAAGTGCCAGATCTTTCACTGCACTAAAGCAACACATTGCCAGACCTTGATTTGTTAACATAAACATCCCTGAGGGCCAGGACTGTGGGATGCTGGGACTTCACACACAGTTACTCATTACTGTCACGTTTATGATGCCACGAGCGACAAACAGTTACTCATTACATACTATAAATAAAGAGTCATGTGACAAAGGAAACACACCCTCTTTCTATACAGTCAAGGTCAAACAACACTCAACTATGTATCAACTAGAGAGATGACTCAATGTTGGGAGAATGTGAACCGCATACTACTCGCACTATTTCTGGCATAGAAAGGCACGGTAAAAATAGTATGAGTAGTATGTGTGATTTTGCCACGCTGTATAATATTGCTGGATCAACATGTTTGTTAGTCCCAGTATTTCTCCCTTATTCGGTCCAGAGAGGCACATATGGACACTGAAATTGGTCCGAGATTGGCTTAAAGGTCCCCTGACATGAAATTTTCACTTTCTGAGGTTTTTTAACATTAATACGAGTTCCCCTAGCCTAGCCTGTATATGGTCCCCCAGTGGCCAAGCAAAGCATGGCAGTTGATCAGTGTTCGGATGTATTTTTTAAGTATTTTTTAGTTCCTTCATCCGAGCCTCGGAAGAAACAATGGGTTAATTTTATTTTCTCTGGAAATGCACCGACACAACTTCCCAAAGTTTTGTATGGTCCAAACATTTCACCGACGACTGTTTCCTCAACTTGGGCCAATACAGAGCTGGCCTCGATGAACGTCTGAAAATAAATCCATCGAGCGACCAAGCAACAATTTCTGATGTGTAATTGTTCAAGTTCAGACAGGTAATCTTTCTCTCAAAATCGTTTAATACGGTTTATGCATAAGTCAAGCCAGTGACTAAAATATTAACTTCACATCGTTTCTTTTAGTAGGATGAAAATAATCTTATTTAAATTGTGAACAAATTATACAGAAAGCGATCAAAGAACAATCTTTCCACACAGCGCAAGTTTATCTGGACAACTCGTTATGAAATCAATGACGCACGTTACACTGCACAACAAAGCTCTTATTGTATTTACATCATCGTGTTTGCATTGGTGAAAGCATTAGAGAGAGCAGAAACTGCGTTGCAATGATAAGATCTTCATGCTCGCGATCAACAGACTGTTTGCTCAATGCTCATCACGGCAACATTTTATGTGATGGGAATAGATCTAAATACTTTAAAAACATCTCACGATTCGTTAATCTCGATAGCTGTAATAGTAAAAACGTATAATAGCTGTAGTAAAAGTATTCGAGAGAGTTTCACATGTAATACGTAGCTATTTCATATGCAAGCATGTCAGCCAATCACAGCAGAGGCCGGTTACACACAGCAGACACTCCCCTTCAAACAGAGGCTAAAATCAGGCTAGGAAAAATGTCTTTTATTTCTAAATTATGACTCTTTTTGATCTAAAAAACATACTAACATTATAAGGGCAACCCAGGAAACATTATAAAATAATACAATAACCCCATGTCAGGGGACCTTTAAATGAACCTAGGGGTTAATAACACATGGGTACAGAGTCCTACCTATAGTTAATAACAATTCCTATCGACCAGCACGTAGCACATCGTTCGTGGTTCGACTGGCCGAGACTGTTTTCCAAAGATGGCTCAAAGTGTACTGTCTTTATAAAGTATCTTCTTATGAAACTCTCTGTACACTTACAAAGTTCTCAATGCTTCGGTTTGCATGTAGGGACCCTCATTATGCTACTGTGTTAGTGTGGGGCTATTTTTAGCCTTGTTAGTGGTATTAACTTAACTAGCGATCTTTATTTGTACTTACTCTATGCCCTATATACTAGCATTATAAGCTAATCAGTGGTTCGAGCTAAAACTGGGTACATTCGATTATCATGAAAACACATCCCAGAGAACGGTCGACTCTGTGCCCATGTGTAATTAACCACTAGGTTCATTTTGCGCCGGAATTGTCCTATAAAAGTGTTCAATGCATAAAACTGAAAGAGGCCTGTGTGTAGCTCTATATAGCACTGACCTTCACTCCATATTTGACTTTTCCTGCATAGTGTTTAATGATGAAGGCCGGCTCCATGACTGCAGGAAACTCAATATAGTCGTTTCGCTCATGCTGGCGCTTGAACTTGTCCAGGAGCGTCTGATTGGTGGCCTGTGGAAAGCTGGAACGCATAGAGAGTGCATTAGAGCAAATAGAGTTGTTCCTGAATATATATTCCGATATGAAAACGATTTGCTTGATTAGCTCTATTTGGAAAGAGTTTATCATTCTAAAATGATTTTATAGGCGAGTGAATCAGCATAGAAGATAATAAACAAATGACACGGATAGATAAACAAATAGAACAAAGATACAAATGAAATAAACAGTGCTTTTCAGATACAGAAGTTGAATAATCAAATGTAAAATAACACTGCACAGTCTTCACTGTATTAATTAAATGTAATTAATCTTTGTTAAAGCTACAAAAGTGATTTTGTCTTTGTCTTTTGTTGTTTGATTAACATTAATGACTGAAGCAGGAATATTAGGCTACTGTCACTTTAAGACCGAATGCACGGATCCAATATACTGATACGCATCGGTTTTCTTTCTCAATTGTTTACATAAAGACATAACTGACTGTTTATGAGGATACATGCATTTTGACATAATTTGCTATTCTCTTATGCACTTTTGTGCACTTGAATGCCTTGCTTGAGTTTTTAAACTGACAGGACTGACAACACGTGTAAATGACACACGCAATTCAACCAGTTCACACGCTCACACGCCACACCGTGTATTTCTCACGCTGAAAAGGCAATGCCAACCAAGTTGTCCTGCAAGCTTTATAACGTTGTATACGAGGCGCAGGCACACAAAGAGAAGTTTCCTGCCGCCAGTGCGTATCTCGGCCAGATTGCATTCGTTACTAGGCAACATAGATGCGCAAACACACGGAAGTTGACTGAACGTTCTCGGCCACCGTACGTTCGTTACTAGGTAACCAACAATATCGTGCGGACACACATCATGATGGAAAAGGTAAGTTGGAAGAAAGCTTGTCTAACATTTTTAGGCTAGAACATTTAATATATAGCCCATCGTATACATTATTATTGATGCAGTCAAAAACTCTACAACTACTTTGCAACCAGGCCAGAAGCTTTGGCTCAGTTTGGCTAGCTTTATCTGAAACTAATGGAAATGTTAGTGGGTATGGGAAGGAATGAAGATGTATTTCTTCATTTTATTTTAAATTATATATTATTAATAGTCTTTCTAGTTACATTAAGGCTACATGTATTAAAGCAGACGACAACACAAAACACACACACACCTTAGTACTCTAATATGTCCATTTGTTCACAATGTCCCACCACACAATAAATCATTACACCATTTCGACTAGACACATTCAAAATGCAAAAAGATTTGTTTTTCCAAACTGTTTGGAGCAATTTGTTATATTTTTGTATATTTGTCATTTTGAAATATAACATTAAAGAGTATATTTGATAGGGCTGGGTAAAAAAATATTGATTCTCATTTTTACGAACCGATATCGATTCTTAAATCTCAAGAATCGATTAGTCATCCTGTTTTCATTTGATGAATGAATGTTACATTGTAGCGCGCATCCCATCCAATAAATCGCAATAATCTTCGTGCTTTGTTACTATTGATACTAAATAAAGTCTCAAATTACGTCCATTTTCTTACGAAATTCAAAAACATAAATAGCGTTTTGGCGCTGTGGCGTGAGATCGCTCTGGCTCAGCTCAGCTCAAGAGAAGCAGCAGCGCGGAGCGCACATGATCTCCTCTTCCGGCTTAATAATACCAGTTACAGCGCGAAATAAACACGAATGAACGTCTGAAAGTGTGTTAAAAGATAGAGTACAACTTATCGAAATCCGTATCATGTCACATGGAATCGCTCAATCAGTGTTTCAACCGTGGAAAGACGTCAGTAAAACAACTTGTAAACAATGTCATGTAACGTCACATTTACCTCAGAGAAACCATGTGACCATAAACTCGTTAGTCAGCTAGAAAAATTAACTCTAAACTAAAGAGGAGCATTTTGCTAAATATATGCACCATATTACATATTCATTATAATTTTTAATGTTCTTCGATATTTAATGCATAAATCTGGCAAGTTTTTATGACAGCCACCATTTAAATGTTTATATTTCATATAACTTTATTATCATAAAAATAAATAAAAGTGTAATTTAAGTGTTTGTATAGCAAATCAGTTAATTTTTACCTTCAATATTATAGTAGGCTAATGAAGCCTAGTAGACTACAACTGACTCCCATAGTTTACAGCATTAGTTAAGAGATTTGTTTTCCTTGAGAAAATTTGCCATGTATTGTACCTGATATCCAAAATAATCAATATTGAATCGAATTGCAAGCTTGTGAATCGAAATCGAATGGAATTTTGAAATTTGTGTCAATACCCAGCCCTAATATTTGATGTGATTAATTGCTCTGTCATTTATCAGATTTACCAATTGTTATAATTTCCATTTGTGCTGGTTAAAAATTAACAATGGGTAAAATTGGGGGGCGGGGGCGGGGCTCCATTAGGGCTCCTCCCCTAACCGCATGCGATCTCACTCCAAGCTTTTGATCAAACTTGAGAACCCTGCTATGATGATTAAACTTTCCAGGTAATCCACGAATCGCAGGACCCTGTCCGTACGGATGATGAAACATCGCACATCATGCAATGTGGAAATCACAGATGTTTACATTTATTGGTTTTAATTTCAACTCTTTCCCCGTTTGGAAGTTTGCCGAGGTCCACTAGCGAGAACCGGAGAGTGAAAGTGGTCACCTAGGGAGGATGACTCTCCAGTTCCTCTGGTCTTGAGAAGAATGAGAGCTGCTGCCAAAGCTTCAGAAAAAAGCAACACAGCCACAGGAAGAGCACGAATGAGACATTAGAGAGTTGAGCTATGAGGAACACTGATGTGGAGAGTCAGGTTTCCACCTATTTTAGGAAGAGAGAACCTTACTCTTTTGTTTTTTATGTTACAACCGTAATCAGATATTTTTGTTTTACAGGTAAAACATTCAAGTACATTTCGCATTTACATTCAGAGATTCCACGTTGGTCTAACTAGCAATAAATGACACAGTACTTTATCTCATGCTTCCATTGTTTGCAGTGTAAAGCTCAGACGTACTTGCACTCTTCGTCCAGTAGGTGGAGCAGTGCTGTGGGCTTCTTGCTGATGAGGTTGATGCAGCCGGTGTTATCGATGTAATCAATGTTATGCCATGTAATGCCTTCTGCTCGGTACTCTTCCTATAAGAAATGCAAAACACATCAATAATTATGAGGTTTCAATTGACAATTACAGATTTCCTGGTTGTTTAAGGTTTTACAAATTTTCATTCCAATTTTAAAGGGGTCCTATTATGCTTTTTTTATATATATATATGTTTAACATTCTTTAGTGTGTATTGTTGCTGTTTGAGCATGAAAAAGCTCTGCAAAGATACAAAGTCCCTCCAAAGGGAGTTATTCTCTATATCAGTGTCAGTGTTTCTGAACTCCCTGAAACGCCTCCATTGTAGTCGTGATTTTCTTCTGGAAACAAACACGTCACAATATTCCTCATTTAAATAATTCATACGCAGAATAAAGGGGCGGGGCCTGGTTGAGTTAGTTAGTAGTGTGTTAAACTGGCGGTTATGGTAAGGGGCGGGACATTCCCAAACTCGCTCGAAGCGCTCGACCAATCACAACACACTGGTCCAGTCGACCAATCAGAGCACAGTGTGCTTTTCAGAAGGAGGGGCTTCATAGAGACAGGAAGTAAACTGAGCGTGACTGACAGACTGGGAAGAGAGAAGCCGCAACAATGGAGAATATGGGGGAAATAATCAACATTCAAGCATGAAAACTTGTTCTAGTAGAGGCCAAAAAAAACTTTGAAAAAGAGAATAATAGGTCCTCTTTAAAATTGACTGATGTTTTCAGGTTTTCATGACTATGGAAACTGTCTGTGTCATAAAAAAAAAACATGTTTCAATCCTCCTTTTATGTTCTTTTATCACTAACAGAGTAACATGAGAACGAACATCTCACAAAACCTGTTATAACTATACGGGTAATTCATTTTTGGCCTGCTACCAGAACAACAAAACAACAGGCCTGCAAAGTGTCTTCACGTTCCTCTAGAGGAGACTTCCTTTTCGCCGGTCCGAGGTTTCATGGTCTTTGCGGTTTAATAATATGAAAGACATTCTTAACATTTTGTAGCTTTTTTCTCCTCAACTGTTTCCTTAGATCGCTGGGAAAGTAAATGAAACAATAAAGGATGTAATCCCGGTTGGGTTTCGTACAATCAGTGGAATCTCTCTCCTGTTTGCACATTAAACGACACAAGTATAAAGCAGATGATCTACACTTCTCATTTAAATACGGAAGAGCGGATTACAATTACAAGAAAGCTTTTGACTGTAGATTTTGCAGCATGATAATATGGTATACAGTATAATCATATTCATGGAAGCGAAGTTTGATGCATTTCCAATGTTTTAAGCTCATGAATATCTGGTCATAATGATACATGTATCTGGGTTTGTTCAAATCCTCAACCCACAGTATGAGCAATATTAAAAGTAATGCTTGTACTAATAATCTAACCCTCATCTGAAGCACTTCAGAAACCACATGCACTCTGTTTGGCTGATAAGAGAAATGCACTCAAAGAGCCTCCAAATCAAATAAAAACCATTTACAGCATCTCCATAAATGGCACAATGAAAACAGCGCATTAATAGACTAATGAAAGCATGTGTGGTGTTGTGTCTGGCTCCAGCATGCCTGTATTTATGGGCATCAGATGGCAAGTATGCCAAGAAGGACTTTGTTTTCCTGTCTATAATCTAACACTAACCTAAACTCAGGCAAACAATCCTAACTAATGCAAGTTAACTTTTTTCTCAGTCAAACATTAACTAATGCTCATAAACTATGAATCTGCATATTGCATGTTTAGTGTAGATAACCTGGGTATGGTCTATATTAAACATTAGCACACGGCATACTTGGCAGTAAACTCAGGATGTGAATTCATTCCTGACATCTGAAACCAAGAGTTTCCAACTCGTAGAGCAATTAAAGCGTGGAACTTGGCAGACGAAGTGAAATTCCTGCACTTTTATCAAGGAACAAACAGCAAAACTGTTGTGGCAATGGGAATGAATCCCGTCAAAAATGCCATTAACAAGAACATCAAAAACGCTTTTAACAAAATTACCCAGAATCCCTCAATGTGGGTTCAGACTGAGCTCTCCATACCGTGATGCGGGGATGACTTTTTTTTTTGATAGGCCAAAACCTGGAAATTAGTTACGATTTTAGCATTTCTGGTTCCATCATCCTGAAATCAATGGCTTTTTGGTTAAATGACTGAAATAAGGTCAGAGGTGAACGCAAGCTCAAGATATTGTTCATGTTTTACTTTATGCCATACAATACATCAGTTATAATACGCCCTTATGATTTTTCACTTGAGCTGTAAATGCCATGTGCCTATTATGAAAGCTTGTTTCCACCACAGAATAAAACATTTTAAAAGATAACTCATTTTCCCTGAAAGTCAGAGATATAAAGTCACAATTCTGAATTTTTTCTCTTTACATCACAATTCTGACGTTATAACTCCTAATTGTGACTTTATAAATCTCACAATTCTGACTTAATTTCTCGCAATTGCGAGTTTATATCATGCAATTCTGATTTTATAACTCATAATTGCAAGAAAAAAAAGTTAGAATTGTGAGATAAAAAGTCGTTTTCTGTGGCGGAAACAACCTTGCAGAGCCTATAGAGATTTAAAGAATTAAAGCGTTATAAGCCATGGCACCAGCCAACCAGCTAAAAGGTGAATCAAAACATTACAAACGTTGCAAAGAAGCAGCAAAAAAGTATTTGATAATCAGACAAAATGACAAAAGTACAACTTAAGACTGTGAACTTATGGCTATAAAGAGGGAAAGAACTACAATCCCATGAAGCATTGCGGACAGCATAATGGAATTACAAACAATGGAGAAATACAAAACTAGTCATTATATACACACAAATATTCACGTATTTTGAGAGCATAGGAGTGGGCGGAGCTAAAGAGCTCTTGCTTGTGGCGATTCTTTGATTGGTGGAATTTTCTGTACAGCATCATGGGTAATGTAGTTTTCTCCACAAATTCCACTGTTAAACATAATTATTTTAAATATAAGCTGAAATAATGCAGGCTGAAGGCTTCAATAGAAGCAAATACCATGGATTAACAACCTCACAGCTCAGAGCAAGGCTGTCTTTAAAGGTTTACAGGTCATCGTAAAAATACATTTGCCTATGGAGAAAATAGAGTCATAGAAAATAGAGAGAAAATAAATATGGAGAGTCATGGGTAAATGACGTCATGTTGCACTATATTAATGGAGTCATCATGGGTAATTTATGTCATGTAAACACAGATTGCTTGATGGCACTAAAAAAAGATGCAGTTCCAGTATCATCAAGCAAACAAAAATGATATTATATTATAAAATGAAGCAGATTTGACTTAGATCACACCTTCACATGGATCATTTGTCACAAGACGTGCTAAACCCACAAGTGATAGTGTGTTATTTACACATCTGCATAAAGCGACACGTCCTGTGACAGTGTGTGATTTATGTGGATAAATGTGCCTTGTGCAAGCAAATCTGTCAAAGTTAGTTTATCAAATCTGGACTCTGGACTGACTAGAAAATTAAACTAACAAACCCTCTTTGAGCAGAAGCATATAGTTTGAGGTGCGTCACAAAGGCACGGCTTTGACAGGCTGTCATTATCGTAATTGGTTGCCTCTTTAGTCATCCTAGGAGAACGACCTCGTTGAGAAAACACACATTATTACAGAGACACAATTCTTTGTCTGAGGTTGGAGTAAAGTAACCCTTTTTTGTTGTCTCATTATCAAACGGTTTATTTAGTACGAAACTCTACGTCACATGATCACACAGCCCGAGGCGTCCATCAACCCAACCTATTAAAGACTTCCGTAATGGTTACAATTCCCTCGTTTTGTAGGATGAATTTAATTATATTCAAGGAATGTTTACTCTCATAAAACACAGGTTTGTATGACATTCTGGTCCCTAAACTTACTGACGTTAGTCTAAAGCAAGCACCAGTAATGGAAAACACATTTTCCCATTAACCTCCATCGGTAGAATATATAACCTGGGCTGATTCAATGATATTCAACGCTATTATTGATCTGTCTGCTTTGACACCGTTATATAAGAACTGAACTGAGCTGGACGATGACATCACTGTTTTCTCCAGAGCGGCTGTATATATAAATGAACTAAATTAATAACTTTTTTACAACAGAAATGAACCATCACTGAACTTACGTAAGCTGGACTATGACACTATTTTCTTCTAGAAAAAAACTTTTTTGCATTATTTTCCTGTTATCTCTGTAAAGCTGCTTTGAAACAATCAGTATTGTAAAAATCGCTATGTAAATAAAGGTTAAAAAAAGAAATTCAGGAATTCACGTTGAAAGTGTACAAATGTAAAGATAGCAAACCTATAATTTTGCCAAAAACATTCAGTCAAGCAATATCGGTGCACTTCATTTATTCTGTCATAATTGCTGGCAATAAATCAGTTATTAGGCTAAAATCTTGAGTCTCAGCTTTCAAATAAAAGATAAAAATAAAACATTACCTGCTCCAGCTTAAAGATGTGCTGGTTGAAATAGTGCTGAAGTCTTTCGTTGGCGAAGTTGATGCAGAATTGTTCGAAGCTGTTGTTCTCATAGTCTTCAAAGCCAAAGATATCGAGAACCCCGATGGCCAGGATCTGAAAAGATGATGAGATGCAAGGAACATTAAGAACAGAAAAGTACAAGTCAATTTAAAGCGTTCTTGTGTCATTGTGGCAGTAAAAAAACGTAGGGGGAGATCTGGTTCAAAAGTCTGCGTTATTAAACTAGATGTGTCATCAATCAGCTAGCTAACAATATGTCTACGGTTTAGTCAATGCTTGCTCATCAAGATCAGGGATATACAGTGTGACCATTTCAGCTGCATTTACCACGTGTGAATTATTAGTTGTCAACAGAGTCAAAAATGAACACTCTTCAAGTGCCAAATGAGAGTAGATTCACAAAGGCTGCGATTTAACCATGTATGATTATTTGAGCTGCACCGATGTAACGATTATCGGCAGATAAAACCTATTATTTTCACTATTGTTTAAAAACAGCTGATGATCAGGGCCGATTATATCCTGTTAATAAAAAGGGGCGGAAAAACGTGTCAGACTGCAACTCATACTGTGAGTGAAGAAAGTCTCTCTAGTGCTGGATTTAGAGCAAGTTAACGTGACAATAATGCATTAACAGTTAAAAAAACAGCGTGTAAATCACCTGTAAAAGGTGTAAATTAATCACCTGTAAATCTTCTGTAAAAAGGTGTAAACCATCTATAAAAATGTGTAAATCACATGTAAAAGGGTGCAAATCACCTGTAAATCACCTGTAAAAAGGTGTAAATTACATGTAAATCACCTGTAACAATGTGTAAATCACCTGCAAATTACCAATTAAATGTGTAAATCATTTATAAAGATGTAAATCACCTGTAAATCACATGTAAAAAGGTGTAAATCACCTGTAAATCTCTATATATGCAATAAATGCTTTATAAATCTATCAAATGCTCTATAAATCCCCTGTAGTTCAAGCCAGGGTTTTCCCTAAACCAAACATTATTTGTAACGCCTCCCATCCAACAATCACAAAAAGCTTTGTCACTTGTGAAACAAAGTCTCAACTTTTAAATTCTGTCCATTTTATCACAAAATTCCAATAATAATGGCGTTTTGACGCTCTTAAATGTGACGTAAGACAGATTGCTGTAGCGCCTCAGTGAGTTTTTCATCCACTTTAATACAAGTAGTGGCATGAGAAAACATGCATTAACAACAAAAGTTATGTTGAAAGATGCATCACAAAATACCTAAATTAACTATGACTCACGCTTAATCAGTGTTTCAACCGTGGAAAGATGTCAATAAAACAGCTTGTGCAAATGCTACTTAACGTTGCATTTATCTCAGCAAAGTTATCAAATGTTCACAGTTCAATAGTTAGCTATAAAAACACTAAAGGGGAGCTTATTTACTTTTACTTATTAATGTATGCTTGAATACATTTGTCATGAAGATAAGTGTTTATGAAAACTACCTTATGTACAACTGAGTTGTATACAAACATTTGTGTTTTTATTTGAGTGTAATTATTATAGCAGCTGAATATGATAGTTGATATGATATGAACTTGCAAAAGAAATTGCGGGAACTTGCAAAAGAAATTGCGGGAACTTGCAAAAGAAATTGCGGGAACTTGCAAAAGAAATTGCGGGAACTTGCAAAAGAAATTGCGGGAACTTGCAAAAGAAATTGCGGGAACTTGCAAAAGAAATTGCGGGAACTTGCAAAAGAAATTGCGGGAACTTGCAAAAGAAATTGCGGGAACTTGCAAAAGAAATTGCGGGAACTTGCAAAAGAAATTGCGGGAACTTGCAAAAGAAATTGCGGGAACTTGCAAAAGAAATTGCGGGAACTTGCAAAAGAAATTGCGGGAACTTGCAAAAGAAATTGCGGGAACTTGCAAAAGAAATTGCGGGAACTTGCAAAAGAAATTGCGGGAACTTGCAAAAGAAATTGCGGGAACTTGCAAAAGAAATTGCGGGAACTTGCAAAAGAAATTGCGGGAACTTGCAAAAGAAATTGCGGGAACTTGCAAAAGAAATTGCGGGAACTTGCAAAAGAAATTGCGGGAACTTGCAAAAGAAATTGCGGGAACTTGCAAAAAAAATTGCGGGGGAACTTGCAAAAAAAATTGCGGGGGAACTTGCAAAAAAAATTGCGGGGGAACTTGCAAAAAAAATTGCGGGGGAACTTGCAAAAAAAATTGCAGGAACTTGCAAAAAAAAAATGCGGGAACTTGCAAAAAAAAATTGCGGGAACTTGCAAAAAAATTTGCGGGAACTTGCAAAAAAAAATGAAGCAAGCATAACTACATCACAGAAAGTGCTGGGAATATTTAATTTCTCATCTTGTTTTATTTCAGACTGTAACGAGTGGAAATAAGGTGTGGCCCCTTTAAGAGCTGCGCGCTCACTGTTGAACTGTCTGCAGTATTATATTGTATGTGCGCCTCGAACACCACATGTGTGCGGGTAATTTCTGTTTGATGCTACTTCTTTTATCTTATTTGGTTTATTAAGTAACGATGTGGACGGTAGAACGTGTGACAGACAGTTATACGAGTTTGATTTGGGAATAAAGTGCGAGTTGTCTCCGTGAGTCTGCCTGGCCTCTGCAATAACTTCAGCTGTGAGCTATCCCCATTTTTCTTCCCGACACAACGCGTTACAAGACCTTAATAAACACATCAAACTTACAAAACATTGATGAGTCAAACAAGTTCTGTAGCTTTACAAAAGGAATATGCTACAACTTCAGTAAAAATGAATAAATGAAATATAAAAAAATTAAGTGTGCTCCTGTTTTACAGCTTTAGATGATGTTCACGTCGCGTAATTACGTCACTTCATAACGTTCCCATGGCAACGGGGGGAAACGGCTGCTCTTGTGTGAAGCAAACGCAACATTTTTCAACTTTCTGCTCAGATATATGTGACTTTTTTGCAACGAAAATGCGAGGATTATGAAATCATGCAAGCCCCGCATATTTTGCACGGAAATCGGCAATTTATGCGGCGAAAGTGCGGCAAATATGAAAAAAATGCGGCCCGCGCATAAATATGCGGACTTAAATCATGCGATCGCATAATCGCGTTTTTCTGGAGGGACTGTATAATTATAGTCTTATGTGCTGTGTGTTTCAGAGTGAAGCACGGCACTGTGTTCATTTACACGCTTGGTTCGCTGTGAATGCTACTTCACACAAACTCAGTGAGTTTGTGTTGCCTATACTGTGCATTTGGAAACACAACATGTGCCAACAAACTTGTAACGAGAATCATTTTTAAATTAATTTTCAACAAATGAGAAGCTTAAGGTGTCCCGCCAAAATAAAAGCTCTATGGTTTAACGATTAAGAAATGAAGATGGTCATAAATATAAGTACAGTAATCCTAGTTGTAAAAAAATATATTATTATTAATACAGTTTTATTTTACAGTACAATAGTATTATCATGGAACTAATACTAATACTTCTACTATTAAACAAATTAACTCACTGAGTATTAGTTATAGTATTGATGATAGTATAGTATATAGTTTAGTTTTAGTATTAGTAGTAATTGCCTGTATTTGAAATCGTTAAACCTTCATTTTTTAATCGTTAAACCATAGAACTTTTATTTTGGCGGGAAACCTTAAGCTTCTCATTTGTTGAAAATGAATTTAAAAATTATTCTCGTTACAAGTTTGTTGGCACATGTTGTGTTTCCAAATGCACATTATAAATATTAGTTTCATGGCCGACATAAAACACATTCTTATTTTCATGCCTTCATCAAGTGCAGAAAGCCACGTGCAACTACACGTCAGAGACTGAACATTGTGTTTTTGTGAGTTAATGTTCAGAAGATGAACCAGGTTAACATGAGATGCTGTTTTTGCAGCCTGTTAAATTAAGTAAAAAATATAAATTTGGGTTTATCAGAACGTAAAGTCACACTATTCTGTCATAACTGATTAGCTGTTTTCTCATGCTTACTTGTGCATGTTTTATTGTGGCACGTTAAAAAACATAAGTGTTGAGCCCTGAATGCAACAGTGCATTTAACCACGCTAGAATGTTCACACACTTATATAAAGTTTATTTCAGGCTTGACTAGCATAATGTTCAGCAGAAATCTGCTAGTGAATACATAACAGCAGGGGCTCAGTCAGTGTGGCTGAATATATCCCATTACATAATGTCTCCATTCATAATTTAGAGATTAAAGCAGAGAGAGCCACAGAAAAACAGGGTGCGTCTGTGTCAGATGAACTCATATTCCTGCTGTGTAATGTAATATATGTCAGATGACTCCACATCCAGAACTTACCATCCTCATTCTTTGGGATTTATCAGTAAAAATGATTTTACCTTGGCCGACTCTTCCAAGTCCCTTTGGTTGAGCAGGGCATGATTGATCCTGAACACGATCCAGTCGAAGAGAGCGCTGTAGAGAGACTTAGCCATGGAGTCCCGCACCGTTCCAGCCTGTGAGAGAGAGCGAGAAACGTCAATTTGATTTAATTATCAAGACTTTTTTAACCTACGTTGTTAAATCTATTATAATTTAGCAAAATGTGTGAGCTGTAAATGTTTGCTTAAGACGGGACTACTATTAAAAGTGGATAAACCTGGATAGACGGTATTTGTTTATGGTAACTTGTCTTAGCAAATGAAAGATTAATGCTTGTTTAATGCTCAATATTGTGACACAGCCGCTCACAACTCAATCTCCTGTAACAGAGCTACAGCTAAACACAAGACTGATCCAAAACTAGTACAGATAATCATAAATAGTTGCATGTTGTGTGCCACTCAAATCGCGAGGATCGTGAAACTAGGCTAATGATTCTTTATGAAACTTAATGCCAAATAAATAAGACGGAATATTCCATAATTATCACAATATTCACTAGGGATGCACCGAAATTTTGGCCGATACCGATAATTCTTTATAACCGATAACCGATATATTGGCCGATAAACAGAATCCAAATTTTTATATAATTTTCGAGAGCCTAATTACAAAACAAAAGGCTATAGGCTATAAAAACATATAGGCTACTTTTATGTAGCCTATATGACAGACTTGCTGCAGACTGAACTGTATTTTCCTTTTTTAAGTGATTTCAATCATAATTTAGGCAATTCAAAATAATAATGAAGGCAAATAGGCAAATGAAGAAAATAATAAATGTTAAATTTTTACATGTTAAAAATGAACAGTGAAGTATGTCCAGTCAGCTCTCTCACACACATTTGTCCATAACAATAACACGCAACAATGGGTTACACTATCTATAAGTAACTTTGCAACTAGGGTTGGGTGATTTCAAATTCTTATTTCAAGATATGAGAAATTTTATTTCACGATAAGTATATGCATCACAATACAGTTAATTTGAGTTATTTTATCTCATTTCTGTTATTAAAAAAAGAAGAAGATTACAAACAATTGGACAAATTATACAGGACAATATAACAAAAATATGAATTAAACAAAGATTTCAGGTACAATTCAACGTAGCTAGAATTAGTATAGAAATGTAATGTAAAAATAAAAAAATTGCATAGTCTCTACAGTATGAATTAAATATTAAAGCTAAAAAAGTTATTCAGACTAGAGCAGAACGTTATTTTCTCTTTAGTTTGATTAACATTAATGACACAGAGCAGCAGGTTTATTATAATTAGGCTACTGTCACTTTAAGACCAAACGCACAGATCAATTACACTGATACACATCCGGTTTACACGGTTTACTTTAAATTGAGACATAACCGGCTGTGTTCACTCCACACGATGGGCATTTTGACATTTGCGTTTGTATTCGACCATTCAAGCGCAACAAGACGTGAAAGAGAAGAGACTCTCTATGTTCGCACTTACGCTGTGTGTCAGTCAGTGTGTGACCGCATCACTGCTTAATTTGCTTCACACTTTTTAACATCGAGCACGTCCTAAATTCCCGATGGTCTTCTGAGAGAGGCAGCTTTCTGTTCATCTTTTGCTCTTATAACTCTTTAACATCAAGCACGTCCCACACTTTATACTCTCATTCATGCATTTCATCACTCTGAAGTGTCAATAGTGCAATTTATTTACTTTCTGCTATATACACACACACAATATAGCACATTTTATACCGTGGTTACGATATATATATTGTCATACCGGCCAGCGCTATTCGCAACTGTCCGCTTAATATCTGATAACACTTTATTTTGATGCTCACCAACAGACATTCGACTGACTATAAGTAACTTATATGTCTTATTGACATGTAGCTGCAAAGTTAGTTAGTAAAATCATCTAAAGTGAACCATCGAAATAAAAGTGTTACCCGACAATGTGATCAATCTGCTAAATGTTTCGGTAACGCTTCCTTTTACAGTCCTGTTACCCATGTACTTACTCTGTACTTATTATAGTAATTATAATTACTGGGTAATAACTAGGTACTAACCCTGAACCTACCCCTAACCCATGTACTTACCTCATATTAGACAGTACTTTCTAGGTAAGTACACTGTAAGTACACATAAGTACTGTACTGTAAAAGGAAGCGTTACCAATGTTTCTTGTAACATTTGTCCATTATTACTTTAACAAAGACTCCTTCCTCACTCGGAAAACATTTCTTTAATTATCAAAGAAATGTCAAATATCATCCAAAATGACTGTGAACATGAGCAGATGAAGTTAAATAATCGATCGATTGCTGTCGATATTCTGAATAAGGTGACCCAATATTTAGCTTTTATTCTGGACAGGGTCGGCGCTATGGTGGGGCATTCGAGGGCCGTGCCCCCCCTAGCGCTCATTGATGCCCCTCCTACCAGAGTTTCTAATACAATAAGATAAGATAAGATAAGATAAGATAGTACTTTATTGTCCGTGTACACGGAAATTTGTCTTGCAATACAAGCTCCAACAATTATAGCACACACAAACTAAAAACAAAAACATACAGTCATCAATAAAAAGTATACAAAATTACTTCCATAATATTATGGGTACTCCGCCCTGCAGAAGTGTTCTTCAATAGCCATAAATATATACATATATTGAAATGCAAGTGGGGGGAAAACTATCACTTCTTTCCCCTCATGTGTTGATTCAGCATCGATATAGACAGAGGAACAAATGAGTGTTTATATTTGTTCTTCCTGCACTCCGGGACCCTATAGCGTCTCCCCGAGGGCAGGAGTTGATACTCTTGATTCAACACATGGGCATAATCTTGGGTGATTTTATGAGCCAATCGTACAGTATGTACTTCATGACTTTCAATAAACGCCTTCTCAACCGACTTTCCCACCAATTTGGAACAAATTCCCAGGAGCCTGAAAATCCTGGCCTTCAAATGAGCTGAGAGGCCCCCAAACCACACTGCGCCTCCATACTGCAGAATGCTTTGAATGGTTGACACAAAGAAAAGAGACAGGATTTCACTACTCGCTCCGAATGACCTAAGTCTCCTTAAAAAATAAATTCTCTGTTGTACCTTTCCGCAGATGTAGTCTACATGATAGGTCCAGGAAAGGTCACAGTCCACATACACTCCAAGATATTTAAATGATGATTTTTGTTTTATGATTTGATTATGGATGATTAATGGTGTAATATGGCATTCATGAGAGGTGCCGAAGATGATCTCTTCCGTTTTCTGTGTATTGAGAATGATAGCATTTTCATCGCACCACTCTACAAGATTATTCACTGTTTGCACATAAAGTTCAGCCCCTTCCCCCTCCTTCATCAAAGCTACCAGAGCAGTATCATCAGAAAATTTGATGATATGATGGTTGGGTGCAAAGGTAACACAGTCGTTGGTATAGAGTGTGAAGAGCAAAGGAGAGCTAACACATCCTTGAGGGGCACCGCAGCTGGTTGTGACCATGGGTGAATAGGTGTTATTGACCCTAACCAGCTGTTGCCTGTTAGTGAGGAATGAACAGTACCAATGAATAAGATATGGATTCGTACCCATTAGGGCCATTTTAGATAACAATATGTCCGGTTTTATTGTATTAAATGCAGAGGAGAAGTCAATGAACAGTACCCTGGCATATGGCTTTATTTTCGGGGTGTCCAGATGTTTTGAGACCAGATGCGTAAGAGTGCCGACAGCATCCTCCGTGCTACGATGTTGCCTATATGCGAATTGGAACGGATCCAGGATATCCTGTACAGACTGAGAGAGCTCATTTGCTACGATTTTTTCCAATGACTTCATTAATACGGATGTTAAAGCCACGGGTCTGAAGTCATTACACTCCTTGGGGCATGATTTCTTTGGTAGGGGAATGATATGCGATGTTTTCCAGGCCACAGGGACCGTGTGCGTATCCATGGATTGTTGGAAGATGGGTTGCCACACTGGTGCTAGCTCCTTGCTGTAAGTTTTCAGGATAGAGGCACTGATGTTGTCCGGGCCGGTGGCTTTACGTGAATTAAGCTGACCAAATACTTTTTCCACCTGACCCACTGTAATTGTCACTCTATCCTCGGAGCCCATCGTGACTGACTCCAACACCTTCCTGCATCTCTCCGTACTCCCAGAGGTTTCAAACCTTGTAAAAAAGGTGTTCAATTCCGTGGCAGAGGTTATCTCATCACTTGTCACAAATGGTATCCTGTTTTTACCTGGCATGCCTGTCATACTTTTTATTGTATCCCACGTTTTACGTGGATTGCCAGCCTTGAAAGCTTCCTCCAGATGTTTCTTGTGTGCCTTCTTTGCCTTCCTCAACTTTTCCCTCAATTCTTTATTTGTTTTTTGTAACTCTCTTCTATCCTTATTTTTAAACGCCAATTTTCTCAAATTCATTACTTGTTTAATGTCTTTAGTTACATAAGTTTTGTTATTAGGGTACACCTTAACTGTTTTTGTGGGTATGATAGACTGTACACAGAAGTTGATATAATCTGTTGTAGCAGTGCAAGTTTCTTCCAATGTGTCCCCCCTCAGCACTTGCCAGTCCGTGCAGTCGAAGCAAGCTCCCAGCTCCTCTCTGCTGTCATCAGTCCACTGTCGAACCACCTTAATCTCTGGTTTTTGACTTTTTAATTTTGATGTGTACATCGGGATAAGATGTACCACATTATGGTCAGAGTTAGAAATTGGTGGTTTGCTCCTGGATTGATAGGCATTAGGGAGGTTAATGTAGCATTTATCCAGTATACTCTCCTTCCTAGTTTCACATTTCACAACCTGTTGGAATCCTGGCAAGGTTTTCTCTAGGTTGCAGTTGTTAAAATCTCCTAAAACAATAGCAGGAGCATCTGGGAAATGTTGTTGTTGGTTATGTACACAATCTGCTATTGATGTAGCGGCGCAATGCATTTGACAACTTGGGGGGACATAGACAACAAATAGCAAAATGCAGCCGAACTCCCGGGGAAGGTAAAATGGTCTCAACCCAATTGCCAGCAATTCAAAGTCTCTATTACATATCATGTGTTTAATTGTGTACTGGCGACACCACCGTTCGTTTAAATAGACACAGATCCCTCCTCCCCTACTTTTTCCCGAGTTCTCATTTCTGTCCGCCCTTATAAGTGAAAATCCACTGATGTCATAAAGTGAGTCCGGAGCGTCAGTGTGCAGCCATGACTCAGTGAAGCAGAGAAGAGCAGCCTCGCGAAATTCAAAAGAGTACCTTACAAGTGCCCGTATGTCGTCGATTTTGTTGTTGATAGAGCGCAGGTTGGCTAGGATCATAGCAGGTAGAGCTGGTCTGTACTTTCGCTGCCGCAGTCTCCTCCTCATTCCACCCCGTCTCCCTCGCTTCCTCCTCTGTCCGCTCAGTCGCTCCGGTTCCTCCACCCGAGCAGCCAGCCGTGATCGCCTCCGTGATCGCCTCCTTCTCCCCCAGATTGCAGAACGTGTCAATTCCCCCGGGATACTAGCCAGCAGCCCGGGTGTAGCTCGTTCTTCAAGTCCCACTTTATTAAGTGTTAGGAGTGCGATGCGAGCATAAACAAACGCTGGTCGGCTGTCCCTGCGCCATTCCTGCATTTCAACACTCTCGGTGCGTGAGTGCACAAGCAGACCAAATATGATTAAAAGTCCAATAAAAAGTCTGATAAAACAAGAAATGTCCACCACTCTTAGCCCAGACTTTAGCACCCACATATCCAGAAAGTACTTTTCCACTTAGTTCGATGACAGACGAACACAACAACAAAACACAGCTAATTGTTTGAAGCGAGTTGCGAGTCGCCAGCTGAGCAGCGCCTATCGTTTTCTGGAGATGCTAAATCATAAATCAGATGTAGGCTATACAACACCAAATGTCCAGCTATCTATTTAAATAGTACATTGTGTTTAATTTGTTGTCTAATAAGATCTAATATGTGTTGGTGCCAAGAATTTTCACATGAAAGAAATAACGTTAGATATATTGAATCCGACTGTTATTTATAAGTGCTTGAATGGTCCAGTGGTGGGATTTTAGACTAGCGTGCAAGAGATTCTGGGTTCTAACCCACACTCACATATTTATTTTTTTTCTCATTAAAACCGATTATGTTTATCAGTGGTTGTCAAGGACATGTTTGAGTGCATTTTACTTTGTGATTTCACCGGTACGAATAGAGATTTCTCCGCAACCGATCAAGCGCGCGTCCGTGTGAAGATGTTTCTTGTGGCAGCGCGAGCCACAAGAGAACACTATCAGCACCACAGATCGCAGTCAACGAGCACTTTGAATGGCGTGTCCCAAAAAAATGATCCCTTTTAGTTATTTTTTTCAATATTAAATGTACAAACTTTAACTTAAATGAAATAAAAGGAAATGATTTCAAAATAAATAATTTTGGTTGTTCATGACTATTGACTATTGGTCATCATTGGTCAATCCTTATTGGTCGCTGAGTAAAATTGTTACATTTGATTTGCAGCGCGCAAAAGTCGTTGTTTGAATCGAAAAGAACAGTTTGTCCGTCTATAATATCATAGACAGCTAGCGGCTAACTGTGCCTAATAAACGAAAGAAAAAAAATGGATTTACGAAAATGGTTTAGTCCTGCTAAGCCTCTTCTTATAATTTCTTGATAACAGACCGCTGCTAAGTATAGCACACTGTTGCCATTAAAAACAGAGCGTTGCCATGGACACAGTTATGTTCACACGGAAGCAATACAATCGTTTTTAAATCAAACTTCTATAAATAATATTTTTTTGTGTGTACAATTATTTATTTGTAAAGTAGCCACAAATTCGCAATTAACAAATAATACTAATAAATAAAAAACGTGTTTCGTTTTTTAAAGCATTTCTGCTGTGTTTTTTTTCTCAAACGGCAGTGCCCCCCCGCGGATGACCCAATGCCCCTCCAGTAGATCTGCTCTGGCGCCGACTCGGATTCTGGATATCTGTTCAATGTTTTTAAAGGACAATGTTAAACCCTGTTTGTTGCTCACCTCAGCCAGTTTGTACGGGACGATCAGCTTCTCGCCCACGGTCACCGTCTTCCGTGTTGTCAGAGCCTCAAAGAGCATCTCCTCCTTGACCTGTCGTGATGCAAGACAACTTTCTCATTTAACTCTTCAGACACAAGTACAAATAGATATCTATCCTTTTAGTGTATGATTTAACGGTCAGGTCCAAAGATTTGGATGCATTCATTCATACTGTATCCCAAATCTGCAATAAAACATATGGAGGATCACACACTACAGCTTTAATACAAGCCAGTGTTTAGTTACATAGATGGACAAGGAGCAAAGCAGCACTAACGGCCGTGAGAACGATTTCTTTTCAATTGTTGACTTTGGGGCCTGCAATGTTGAATTGTCCTTTAAACATCCGGTAGCACTCGGTAATATTGGCTTTTGAGGTTTCTTAAGTCTGTAATGTAGCATGACATCCACCTCTATACTGTAACATTATAAAAACAACACAGCTATAATAATAATAATAACAATAATGACTCAAATGGTTAGAATCTCAGGAAATAAACCATAGAACGTCACATATAACAACTGTTACGAATCAAAGTCTGCACACACAATGCCATGGACAATCAAGTGACCTCAACACAGGCCAACACTCGCTCATTCGCATATAAAAGGGCCGATATGAACTGGGAAAAGTATGCGACTGGTTTATGCACACTGGGAAAGATGTCTACATCTAATATAGTGATTATATAAACTCATTGAGCCTGATGTTGAGTCATTCAACTGTAATCGAGAACAGATGTGTAAGGGCTGAAAGATTTGGACTGGCCTCATCTGAATATGTTATTATAATGATTTCGAGGTGTGCACACACACACACACACACACACCTTTCCCTGCAGTCTGAGGGCAACTGTAAAATCACTTGTGTGTTCATTCTCTCTTTCCTTCAGAGTTACTCATGAAGGTGTGTGTGTGTGTAAAGATAAAGGCCAGATGTGCTTTGATCACACTATTGGGCCACAAGAGTTCCTGGTATAGAGAGGTATGTGCACTGCATACATTACATGTGTCGAGTTCAAAGGCTCTGAAATCACATCCTATATCCTGTTGGCCCACAGCACAGGCTTCATGCCTTCATTCAGGAACTCCTTCTACTTCCTTGAGTAGTTTAATGACCAAATCCTGTGCAAAAGGAACCCAGCCTTCGTCTTTTCCCCAAGACACTTGTTCAAATCTCTGGGGGGTCAGTACATATATTTATAGGTATGTATGTATGTTCATTAATATTTAAGAATATGTGCTGATATGCATTTACAAGTATACAGCGGTGCACGCTGCTATGTAGCATATATTTTATATGTATGCATCATTTATTTTCCTTCCTTCTGTTAATATTGTTTTTACTTTAATTGTTAATCTTGTAAATCAAATTAATTAAAAAAATACTTGAATTCCAAATATTCACAATTCAATGAGTTTTACAAAAACAGTCTAACCCTGTGTCCAAATTATATGCCTACTGTACAGTAAGTGGAAAACTGTGCGTGAACAGTAGTGTGGCATAATATTTATAATATTTATAAAACAGAAGGCAAAAAGCACTACTTCCCCCGATGTTATGAACTGTGCATCCAATGGACACTTTACTATCCCATGAGGCCTTAGGAGAGGACCTGTGAATATCAGTGAAGCGACGAAACTTGTAGTACGTCCATATTTCCTTCATACTATATAGAACATGCTTTGCGACCATTAAAAAAATTTAATGTAGTGTCTGTTTGGACATTGTGTGATTCCAGATGCTGCTTAAAGTCTCATGAACATGTTTTAGCACAGGTCACTCACTCCTCAGATTTAAAAAAAGACTCAAAAAATGGGTTTAATCTCATGATTAATGTGGAGAAAAGCTCAGAAACGGATGATGTAAATGCGAAATGTCTCCAGCAACGACAGGCAATCGGCACTCCGGATTAATGCATATACCTCACTTTCTGTGACTTTGGTTCAACTATATGAAATAGCGCCAAAAAACACACAAAAAAAAAACATTTTCCATTAATAATAAACATAATGAGTGCTATTGGTGCTTTCATTGATGTGCAACCTGTTAAAGGGATAGTTCACTTTGAAATTAATTTCTGGTGTGTTTTAGCTTACCTCAAGGGCATCCAAGATGTAGGTGTCTTGGTTTCCACAGTAGTTTCAATTTTGATATTTTTAGGTCAAACCGTTCTTGTCTGTCAGTCACATAATGCAGGTCTATGGTCACCACCTCAAAGAGCATGCACAGAGAAGTCCAAATTACACATGATTTAATGACTCGTAAATGTAAGTACACATTGATGGCCTAAGACACGAAACGAGCGGTTTGTGTGAGAAAACGAACAGTATTTATATCGTTTTTACCTCTTGTAAACACAGCCACGTCCAAGTGATCTGAGGGCGCCGGCGCTTCGGTCTCTCGCACGTGTACGTCACTCATACAATTGTTTTATTTATTTATTTATTTTTATTGTTTTCTTTTACGACGGTTTAAACATCCCGGATAAGCGCAAATTAGTACCCTTTTAATTAGCCGTCTTACCTACAATCTCTGTTCTGTGTAAACAATGAGTGACGTACACGCGCGAGAGATCACTTCCGGCACTTTCCGGAAAAGACCGAAGCGCCCGCGCCCTCAGATCACTTGGACGTGGCTGTGTTTACAAGAGGTAAAAACGATATAAATACTGTTCGTTTTCTCACACAAACCGCTCGTTTCGTGTCTTAGGCCATCAATGTGTACTTACATTTACGAGTCATTAAATCATGTGTAATTTGGACTTCTCTGTGCATGCTCTTTGAGGTGGTGACCATAGACCTGCATTATATGACTGACAGACAAGAACGGTTTGACCTAAAAATATCAAAATTGAAACTACTGCGGAAACAAAGACACCTACATCTTGGATGCCCTTGAGGTAAGCTAAAACATACCAAAAATTAATTTCAAAGTGAACCATCCCTTTAACATCTCAAAAAATGTGTTTTAGGGTTTTATGTCTCTAATGTGATTTAGGGTTTAATTTATGAATCAGTTGAATTCACTGATTTTGCTCACAGGCAAACATTATCAGTGAATAATGACTTCAATTTCAGTCTATTCATCAAAGAAAGCTATTTGTGTGTCTTCAGGAATAATCTTCTCCGTTTGCCTTCCATAAAGAGGGACATGCAGGTTCAGAATGACATGACTTGAAGTAACTCAAATGGAAAAGCGTGCAGCGAGTGTTTGTGGTGTAACGTGAAAGACTGATCCTGTACCTCCAGCAGCTCAGAAACTACAGGCAGGACTTCAGGATTGCAGATGTCGATGGAGTCATCCCGGTATATCTTCTTCTTGTATCGGATATTCCCTAAATGAAGGATCGCTGACAGCAGAGAGAAAATCCTGCCAGGGAAAAAAACATCAGACGTGAGTGAGAGTGAGAGATACAAAATGGGTAGATGACAAATATCATGTTCACCTTTTTCATCATTTATTTTTTATTTTTTTTTAGTTCACATAAATAGTCAAAATAGACTAATTAAAATAGCTCCACATCATCACACACCCTTCACCATACCTAGAGATTGGCGTGGTTTTATTTCAGGTAGCCTAATAGCTGTATTGATTTGCATTGAGAGAAGATCTTATGAAAAGTAGCCCATGCCAATCTCTAGGTGTGGTGAAGGGTGTGTGATGATGTGGGGATATTTTATTTCCAAAGGCCAAGGGAACTTTATCAGGATGTATAGCATCCTGGATCCATGAAATAACCGGCATTTAAAAATAAAAATCTGCCTGCCTCTATGGGAATTTAACATAGGGGTGTCCTGACTTATGCACACTGTATTTTATTTATTTACGATACATTATTCATTCACAAAGAAAATTGGTGTCCTTAAAGGTTGGAGTTTTCCTCATTTTTTTAATTAAAGCATTAAGATCAATTTCCAAAAGATGATTTTTTATTCCTCTTTTTAGTCAACTTTAGCATGGGTGTGTTCACTTATGCTAAGCACTGCGTATACACATTTAATATTAATGTCTTGTACTGGTAAGTCATTTCAACACAATGAATGGAGACTAAAGCTTTCAAGCTTTAAAAACAACACAAAAGCATCATAAAAATATCAAAGTAGTCCATTCCAAGACTACAGTATATGATATCGTTTGTGATGAACAGCCTGAAATGTAAGTTATGTACTGAAAATCTACAGTATGTTAACCATTGTGTTTAAAGCTACTTCTACCCTAGCTGTCCATCATCCACATTTTGAGTTTGTGTGAGATGTCAAGATTTGAAAAAGGCCAAGATATTTAACAATACAAGGACAAAATTGCATTTTTTTTTGTTTAAACTACTCGCTTAAGAGAATAAATATTTAATGCATGCTCATAACTAATGAAAATTGCATGCAAAGTTTGTGTTAGTTGACCGGTGTTTTGGACAAACTCACTGTTTACGTGTGACGGGAAGGAATCCCACCATCTCCATCGCCAGCTGTAAGCGCTCAAAGTCGTGCTTGAGATCCTCCCCTTCAACTGTGAAGCAATCCTGCTGGTGTCAACGAGAAAAAGAAAGGTTACCAGCACTTCAAACTATTAAACACCATTGCACACCACAGTCTGGGGAGTGTTCATGGGTGGTTTGCTATGTAATCATTTTATTGAATTACTCCGTTCAAAAACCTGATGCGCTATCGATGTTCCCTAAATGCTAATAAGCTAATAGCATGTTGCATTTCAGCTGCTCGAATGCATTCAAGCACAAATATGGACAGTAGAGCTGCTTTTTTGGGGCTTGTGTGCCGCCATCGCTCCAGAGAGACACTGTCAGGGTTTGGTTGATTGACTTAAAGCACCATGTCATTATGAAGTTTGGTCAAAAACGCAAGAGCTGCCACATTTTTCTGGTTGAAAATGAGGGCGCTGGTGAATGTTAGCATATGCATGTTCTGCCCATGCAGTGGAAAATCCAGAGTGATTTGCCTTTTACACACACATTGGAAATCTGGCACACCAGTAATGGTAAGAAGAAAAGTAGCAATTTATGACTAGATTTATTCCTTCAGATGGACCTGAACAAGAAAAAGGTTATTGAGTTTTCAGTGAAGAACTTGTTTAAACTTGTTTACAAATGACAGCTAATGGTCCAAACGATGATTTCCCATCTGCAAAATCAGTGTTTCTCAATAGCGTTAGAAACATACACATTACATTGTGACCATATTGGTATTGGCTAAAATTACAGAAAATAATGTTGATGACAATATAAGGTAGCAGATAATAGAGCAGTTCCAACATTATTTATTATTTTATTGATGTCTGAATTTACTTTAATCACAGATTTGACATTTTAGCTGGTAAAATTCTAGATTTAAGCTTGAATGCATTTTAAAAAGCCAACCGTTTATGCATTTATTCACCTACATTATATGTATATCAGCCATCATATCATTTATCAGTCATATCTACACAGGTCAATTTTTTTATACATTACTTAAATATATACTATTGTACATAATGATGTTTTGATGCCTGCTGTTCATTATAGGCAGAACAGCATAGATTTATAATACCATCATATTGATTATCAGCAATTAAAAATAAATATTATCATAAAAAAGTGTATACTGTATCAGCCAAAACAGAAAAGTACCCAAATTTAATTTGGTAATTTGTTTTTAAAAGTGTAGATTGGAGAATTTCAGTATTGATGGAAAGACTTTAGATTAGAGAACACACATTCTCTATTAACTAGGAGTTTTCCCTCCATAAACTCATAATTACTGCTTATTAATAGTTAGTAAGGTAGTTGTTAAGTTTAGGATTAAGGGATGTAGAATATGCTCATAATGCAGATATGAATGCTTTATTCTGCATAAGTACTAATAAACAGCCAATGTCCTAGTAATATGCATGTTGATATAGACTCACCTAAAGGATTATTAGGAACACCTAATACTAATACTGTGTTGGACCCCCTTTCGCCTTCAGAACTGCCTTAATTCGACGTGGCATTGATTCAACAAGGTGCTGAAAGCATTCTTTAGAAATGTTGGCCCATATTGATAGGATAGCATCTTGCAGTTGATGGAGATTTGTGGGATGCACATCCAGGGCACGAAGCTCCCGTTCCACCACATGCCAAAGATGCTCTATTGGGTTGAGATCTGGTGACTGTGGGGGCCATTTTAGTTCAGTGAACTCATTGTTATGTTCAAGAAACCAATTTGAAATGATTCGAGCTTTGTGACACGGTGCATTATCCTGCTGGAAGTAGCCATCAGAGGATGGGTACATGGTGGCCATAAAGGGATGGACATGGTCAGAAACAATGCTCAGGTAGGCCGTGGCATTTAAACGATGCCCAATTGGCACTAAGGGGCCTAAAGTGTGCCAAGAAAACATCCCCCACACCATTACACCACCACCACCGGCCTGCACAGTGGTAACAAGGCATGATAGATCCATGTTCTCATTCTGTTTACGCCAAATTCTGACTCTACCATCTGAATGTCTCAACAGAAATCGAGACTCATCAGACCAGGCAACATTTTTCCAGTCTTCAACTGTCCAATTTTGGTGAGCTCTTGCAAATTGTAGCCTCTTTTTCCTATTTGTAGTGGAGATGAGTGGTACCCGGTGGGGTCTTCTGCTGTTGTAGCCCATCCGCCTCAAGGTTGTGCGTGTTGTGGCTTCACAAATGCTTTGCTGCATACCTCGGTTGTAACGAGTGGTTATTTCAGTCAAAGTTGCTCTTCTATCAGCTTGAATCAGTCAGCCCATTCTCCTCTGACCTCTTGCATCAACAAGGCATTTTCACCCTCAGGACTGCAGCATACTGGATGTTTTTCCCTTTTCACACCATTCTTTGTAAACCCTAGAAATGGTTGTGCGTGAAAATCCCAGTAACTGAGCAGATTGTGAAATACTCAGACCGGCCCGTCTGGCACCAACAACCATGCCACGCTCAAAATTGCTTAAATCACCTTTCCCATTCTGACATTCAGTTTGGAGTTCAGGAGATTGTCTTGACCAGGACCACACCCCTAAATGCATTGAAGCAACTGCCATGTGATTGGTTGATTAGATAATTGCATTAATGAGAAATTGAACAGGTGTTCCTAATAATCCTTTAGGTGAGTGTATGCAATATATCAACATGCAAGCAACTAAATATGCATCTGTAATATGCAAGCAACTAAAAATGTGTTCCCTAATCTGACCATATTGATTCATAATATCAGCTGTCATTTTTATATTGCTGCATCCCTAGTCTCTTTCACTACAGTCGTGCAAAGTGTTGAAGGAGATGTCTGTCATCCACATGCTCGGCTCCAGCTGGCAGAGAAACTGCTTCAACACACTCAAACTTACACACACTTAATGAGACGGTGTCTCCATTGCTCGCTTCATTACTGATGCCAAAATTATAGCATACCAGAGCACTGGAAAGGCAAACACTGCTGAAACTCTGTAAGCTTTACGGTTTAAACCAAATCCTGCCTATTTGTTTTCTCTCATTCACATTTGCAGGGTCGGGAATGTAAAAAAAGGCTTTTTCTCATGTTAAATGTTGTAAGACTTCTCAACCAAAACAGATTATATTATGCTCTCCTTCACATTTCCAGGGAATGTTTTTCTCATGTTAAATGTTGTAAGACTTCTCAACCAATACAGAAGCAAAATGACATATGCTGTGGGTTTGACGCAAATTGGCAAAATAGTTTTGCAAGTACAGTTTCTTGTTCTTGTCTTGTGCACTGTAACACATTATGACCACTTACCTTCTGGTTGCTGTTTATTTGAACAGCCACTCATGAAAACGTGCATTGTGAATTGAAAGACGGCACAAGTCCAAAACCAGCATGAAAAGCAGGGGTCTCAAACTCAAATCACCTGGGAGCCACTAGCCAGATACACAGTTACAACCAATGTGTGTTCAAGGGTATGTTCACACTTGAAGAATAGACGTGTCACCGCAACGGTGTAAACAACTGCGTTTATTATAGCAGGAGCAATCTAGTGTGGTTGTGCTTTTAGGGGCCATATCCAGGGAGCAACAGTTTGAGACCCTTGATAGAGAGCATGAAGACACCGCAGCAACAGGGAATACATCCACCACACCAGAAACAGCAAACATACCAGCATACTCATGTTGATTTGGTCATTGGTTTGTGTGTGTTGTTTCCTCAGTGTTAAAGTCAGACCTCTGGAAATCATGCTCAATCTTTTCCAATGGCATGAAAAAACAGTTTACAGCATTAAATCACAATCAGATCTCCATCAGAAGTCTACAGTCATGGCATCAAATGTCAGAAATGCATGGCGAGCAGGAAATATAAATATTAAAAGGGTTCATTTAAAGGATTTTTTTTATCCCCAGATGCTGTCATTTACTATAGACAAAGTTAATACATCCGTCAAGTTTGTCAAAAAAAAAGGAACACGTGTGTATTAATGCACTTGATGGTTCGAAGGAAGTTGATGGTGTAAAAAAGAAAGTAAAGCTTATAATTGAGAACTTTGACATACAATCTTCACTATAAAAATATTTGATATTTGATTAGTAAAGTTGCCTAACCTGCCCATTCACGGTAGAACCACTATAAAGGTCGGGTTAAAGGTATAGTAGAGTTGTAAACGGTGCTTTATGAAAAGTTACATCAGAGATATTTTTATTTAAGGAGGAAATAGAAACGTGTTTAGTTATAGTCATCTACTGTGCACTCGCCCCACAGGCTTCAAATGCAAGGTGTAATTACTATACCATCTCACAGACGGAGCGAGAAATAGTGTACCAATACTTCTGTACCAAGTCGATATTGTGTTGATGGACTATGACAAACATGCATTTGACATCTGTGATGAATTATAGATCTATGCATTAAGTTTTGAAATGTAATATACCTGCCACTAACTGTGATTTGTTTAACTGTTCTCCATTTTATACCTTTTTTAAAGCAATTTACCATTTCAATTGTTTTTGATAGCTACAGTACATGCTGTTTTAATGTATTAAACCAAAACTTCTTGCAATGGGACCAAAATTGGTACAGAGAACCAATGAAATGTACTTGAATTTGGTACAGATTAAATGAAATGTTAAAACAACACTAGTATTTAAAGCCTTGAATCAGTTCTCTTTATCATCGCAGGCCTACGATCTCAAGTTTACATTTGTAACTCCCTCCCAATGCAAATAAACCATGTTTGTACTGTTGCTTATCACTCTTATCCAATCGACTGTAGTGTAGAGATCTGACCGAGTTGCCCAGAGTTCAGACTATTTATAGAAGCAGAAGAATTGCATGACGCCAGACCAGGGAACACCTCAAAAACACAATGACCAAACAAAATGTACAGCCTAAGAGAAAGCCAGAGAGATGCAGTGAGCACACTAATTACATCCCGAGCCTCACACACACACACACCGAGGATGGGAGTGGTGTGTTGTGTGAAGGGAAAGCTATGGAAAGTGATTTGTGGAGCCAGGGACTCGTCTCTGTACAGCAACGACACACTATTTCAATACTGACCGGTTCGTTCTCATAGTAATTTTCCCAGTGCAGCCTTTGAGGTTTCTTTGTCATCTGGAAGTAAGGTAGATGGGATTAGAGCGACATTACACACAATGCCTGCTAAACACATGCTGCTTTTAAGTGGGAGAACAAAAGCATTATGGTATATAAACACATGCTATAGTTAAGAAAGACAAAGGCTATGTTCAGACTGGAATACTGCCATACTACTTTTTTTAGTACGCACACAACATTACATGGGATACCCAGATGACCTACTATATTTGTCACAAAAATGCAGTATACAACAGTGGACAATGGACTTCCCTAACTAATTATGTGAACTGTCTATTTTAAATGAGTTATTGTAGAGATGATAGCGGTCACATGACCTCACTGATGCATTTTTAATTCAATGCTATGGTTTGAAATGTTTATTGTTGCACACTACAAACTGTTTCACACAGTCTACTATTAAATCAAATTAGTTGTAGTGTTCACACTTCAGTTTAGGGTCCAATTCTCACCATTAACTCCCTCAAACTCCTAATTTCTGCTTATTAATAGTTAGTAAGGTAGTTGTTAAGTTTAGGATTAAGAGATGTAGAATATGGTCATGCAGAATAGGGCATTGATATGTGCTTTATAAGTACTAATAAACAGCTAATATGCTAGTAAGCAACTTAATAGTGAGAATTGGACCCTGAACTAAAGGGTTATTGTTTTATTAAATACTGAACAGTATTAAGTAAGCAATATGCTAGTATTCCATAAAATGACATGTACAACAGATGGATTATGATGAAGGTGAAGAAACAATTCATATGAAGATTAGATTCATTTTTATACGATGGAGAAATTATTTACATTCATGCCGATTTATAAAATTAAAGAATAATTAAATCATAAAGAATCTGGTTAACTTTACAATCAGATTGAATGTGTTAACATTAGTTAATTTAATAGCTAACATGAAACAACAATGAACAATGAGGCATTAATGAATATATTTATATATAATCTCATATGCAGTTCAAATCATTTATATTTATACATTAAATTAATAAATGCTGTAAAACTGTTACTTCATAATATCTAATGCATTAATAACGGTGAACCTTATTGTTAAGCGTTACAGAGAATCTAATAACATTTAGTATTTGCTCTTGCATAACCAGTTTTCAAAACGGTTTGACCGTTAGCAAAGCAAAATAACTGGCTTGATTGAATCTAGAAGTCAAAACCTGGCTTAGATTTCTGTGGAAGTTTTTTCTATGTGAATTCTCCACATTTTTGAGGCCTTAAGACATTAGAGACGGTAGTTAAGAAAGAGCCACTATAATGGTATTTGGAAAAAATGGCAAGAATTCACACCTCTAAAGTTTCTTCCTTATTAAGTTTCTCAGTTGCATATAGTTCTAAGGAACAGAATATCTTGATATTTCGGTTTTCCTGCTGAATATGTAACTATACAGAGGGATTTATGAGTACAGCCAGGAGACAGACGGACGCACGAGATCAGGGACAAAAAGAGGGACTATTGGCTGGAGACGACAGAGACAGAGACTGTCATATGCTGGTCAAATCGTTCAACAACAGACTTGTAGATTTGATAGTTTTAGTTCCGATGCTGTAATTAGTGCGATGTGAAAGCTATCCAATCAGATCGGAGCTTGCCGTTTTGAGAAAGCTCTTTTTTTTTTAGAACATGATACACAAAAACACAGACCTCAAATGAAAACACACATCTAATAACACATGCAATGTTATTATTCCTGAACATTTAACAGAATTCTCTCCACCCAAAAATGAATATTCTCTCATTATTTATTCACTCTCATGTCATTCCAGATGTATAAGACTTTCTTTAGTCGGTGGAACACAAACAAAGAGATGGATTGTTTTTATAAGAATCTCTGAGTCCATTTACTGTAACGCAAGTGTTGTTCTTTCAAAGCTGCCGCTTTAAAACCATTCAAAACGAACAGGACGGTAATCCACGTGACCCCAGTTGATGAATCAATGTCTTCTGAAGCAAAACAATTGGTTTGTGTGAGAGCGAGAGAAAAATACTTTTTTTAAATGATAAACCATTGCTTCCAGCCAAAGGTTTATGAGTTCATGCTGGACGTCAACATCAGCACGTTGTGAAGAGGAGCTGCATGATCAATCGTTAAAAGATTGAGATCTCGATTCAAACACCCGCTTGATCTTATTCCTAAATGATAGCGATTCGGCTCTATCTATTAAAAGATAGCTCTATCTTAGACAAGTATGATCACAGCGAACATTCAGATCTGCGTTCTGATCCAGAGAGAGCAGTTGTCATGTATAGATATGAAACAGATTCACAAACTGTGTCATTTCAACCACACAGTATCGTTATTTCTGTCTTACAATCATTCAAATCATCACAGAAGAACTGGGATAAAAGTTTATAGTTCAGATATAAACACTGATGTCTACAGTAGTGATCAAAATAGAGGAAATCACCTTTTGAAAGTGACTTGACGCTTCAAATAAAGATTTGTCAAGTGACTGTTAAAAATGTATTTGCCATTAAATCATTCATTCAAGAGATTCATTAGAAAAACACTGATTAATCCAGTCATGAAACTAGAAGTCTTTATGAGTGAGTCATTGAATCATTCATGCAACCCGATTTAAATGTGTTTTTAATTCAAATTAATAGAACATTTTGGCAGAACCTCTAGTAACATGTTATTTTGTTTAGTCTAGAATTCAGCGTGAACTCATAAACATGCATTTCAGAAGACATCGGGTTGTACATGAATTACCGTCACGAGCACTTTGTGTGGTTTTTGAAGCGTCAGCATTAAGAGACCTTTCCACTGTCATTATATGGACTCAGAAACTAATTATCTATCTAAGAATCTCACTTTGTCTTCCACAGAGGAAAGTCATATACACTTGGGATGACATGAGTGAGTAAATGATAAGGGAATTTTCATTTTCAGGGGGAGTATCCTTTTAACATTTAGACAAAAATACATTTACACACACACACAAAAGACTGGACGCCTGCATGCAACAGCTTTTCACATAGAAACAAAAGCACGAGGCAGGTGTGTGTTATGGAAATGAGGGGCATGTTAGGAGCACAAGCCTGCTTTCTCTGGGTGGATTAGGTTTTATAGTGTCTCAGTGTGCGAGACCACAGCTGAAAGGAATGAACTGGAATCCGTTTCCTCCATATTCCCCACTTTCCTGTTTGTCTAGTGAGTGAATCCGTCAATAGGCCTCAGAGAGAGAGCAGCTGCCTGACAAAAACTGACTCTACAAGGGCAAAAAACTGCTGCCATCCAATGATCTCAACTAAGCTTTGTTGATTTTTTTTTTTTTTTTTGTGCAACAACGGTCCTGACTAGGGGTGCCACAATGGTATTGATGATAACAGTGATATTTAAAATATTAAATATTGATGTCATCACTACAAATGTGATAATAGCGTATCTATTAATCCTGTGATAATCGTATCTGTAGTGTTTCCCGCTATGAAACGGTGTTTAATTGTATAATTTTAGTGTTTAGTATATATTTTCTTTTAGTGTTGTTAATGTTCAATGTGTTTTTTTAAACAGTAATGTGAATGTATTTATGTCACCAGTGTCAAAGATAAATTTCCGCTCTGTGACAAACAGAATGGACAATAAAGTTCAACTCAACTCATAATAAGTTAGGGATAATGGCTAATTAAACGATTTTAATGCACGATGTGGAGGAAAATTCCACCCCAATGCGAAGCGGAGTGCATTGAAATGGTTTATTGCACAGCTAGCCGTGGATTATTCCTCTTATACCATGGTCATATCCAGCATTGACAAGTCAAAGCTGTTATTGGTGTTTGTAGTGCAATATTTGGCCTATAGGGTAAAAACAATGGTTATTTTGGTCAGTTACGGCTCGTTAGATCTAGCATTCTGCCCGCTTTAAATCAGACGGAGAGATAAAGTAGTGCGTAGGATTACATGTATTTGCATGAATGAATTAAAGCATTTATTTGAATTAATTATCGAAAGAGAGAGAGAGATGCGTGTGTGAATTACCTGCATCTGTGCAGTTTCTCTCTCTACTAACAAAGAAGCTGTGAGTTTAATTACTTCAAAAACAGCGCTGTTACCCCCTCTTTGCAGAGAAATATAATGTACGATTCAGTAGTAAAGCTATTTTATTAATAAAAGTCACGGGGCAGCATTGAAAACAAGTTTCTGTGCTCTTGAATGTGTGTGTGTGTGTTTTGGAAGGAACGCTTTAATATAGAAGTGATTAAACTGACTGGAACTACATGTGCATTAAATGGTTTTAATGCGCAGCTTCCAGCCAATCAGAATCGAGTATTCAGACAGACCATGGTATACCGTAAATAATCCAGCACCAGTAACCATCTGACAAAATTAATTTGACTGCCTTATTTTAAATCATCTATAAATAATCGTGATAATATTGTTATTGTCAATTCTTTCAACTAGTGAACATGACAGTGAAAACCCTAGTCCTGACACATTGAAATCCTTTTCTCTGAGCAGGCCCTTCACTTGGCTCAATGACCCGGTTTACACCTGGTATTAAAGAAGGAGTTACAGTATCAGTGTCAGCTGTTACCAAGTATTATAGACTTGTTTTGGATTCGATCATAGTACCTTTCTGAAGACTGAAAGATGAAAGCCACTTTAATTGTATGGAAAAGAGCAGCATGAACATTCTTTAAAATATCTTCTTTTATGTTCCATGAAAGAAAGTTTATAACAAAATTTGGTAACACTTTATTTTACAGTATCCTTGTTACGTTACATGTACTTACCATAGTAATAACAGTAAATTATGTATAATTACATACAACTAACCCTCAACCTAATCCTACCCTACCCCTATAGTAAGTATATGTAGTTGCTTAATATTACTCAGTACTTAGATATATAATTACACTGTAACAATGACACCTTAAAACACAGTGTAACCCAGAATTTTCGTTTTACCCTTTTTAAAACCATCCCCGTATATTCAGTCTTATATGGACAGCTCCAGGTGTAAACAGGGATCCCTCAAAACACCTTTCGAGATGCTGTCGGAGGCACGAGCCATATCGCTTGCACTTATGTGTCTTGATGCACCGCAAGTCAATGAAGAACAGTCTACTCCTGCAGTCTTTTTTTATTTTCTCAGCTAGGCTTGAAAAGAAAAGATTCAACCAATTGGAAAAGCACACATGAATGTGCACAAGACTTCACGGGACATCTTCCGTCAACATGCAGAGACACACTGACAAAGTAAGTGGTCATAAAATCAGTGACCCTCAACGAAACTCGATCGCAAGTGGTCACAGGAGACGCATGTTACTACCAGGAGTAAACAGCAGCGTCTCAGCTGACCTCTCGTGATCGCATCTCCTGAGAGGAAGCTTAACAGCGATTGAAAACAGTGCTGGGGGAAACGCATTACAAGTAACTTGAGTTACGTAATCAGATTACTTTTCAAGTAACTAGTAACGCATTACTTTTAAAATTTACAACAAAATATCAGTTACTTTTTCAAACATGTAACACAAGTTACTTTGGTTTCCCATTTATTGACTGACAGCTCTCTAGTCCCAATGTTGAGAGCAATCGAAGTGCAGAGGCGTTGTGTGTAAACATGATGGTTATTGTAGTTCGAGACTAAATGTGAGCATGCATTTACTCATTTACTCAGTCAAATGCAAAATCAGACTATGCAAACCTCAAATAAATGAAATGTTAAATAAAACAAATATTTGTATGCATTTAATCTCACTTTATTGACCAATGTACTTTATATTGACTACTTAAAAGTAAGTGTCGAAAGTTGAATGTTTAGTTTGAGCTGCGCCCTCTACTGTACACGCGTGAATTTGCACTTCCTTCAGTCTGAGGCTTATTATTTCAATTTTGGTGTGAAAGGGCCAAAAATAGCACTTTTTTGTTATGAAACACCCAGACCAGGTGAGACCAAGTAACGCAAATGTAATGTACTTTTTTTTTTTTTTTCTTAAAAAGTAACTAAGTAACGCAATATTGTAATGCATTGCTTTTTCAAAGTAACTTCCCCAACACTGGTTGTAAATGAGGTCGCTGCTGGAGAGTACAGTGCATGCAGTGGTATGAGCTCGTACCTGATTGAGGTAATGATATTCTTCAGGCTTTTTGAGGTGGAACGAGGTCCTCTCCTCTTCACTCGCTCCTGCCAGCAGGTAGTAAAACACATGGTAATTCCTAAAAGAACAAACCCATATAACGTCAGGTGCTGTATGAATATATCTGGCTATAAATACATGAAGGGTTGCAGAGCCTGTTGCTGTGGTCAGAGGTCAGGGCTCAGTTTTGGGAAGCCTCTTCAAATCAATGGGCAAACAAACTTTCACTCACATGAGATCGCAGCAATTGACCTATGGCTAAGCCACGCCCCCAAACGCGATGAGCCAATCAGTGCGCATAGCTAACCCGAAACACTCGGACATTCTCTGCTTCCACGTCCATTGAAATGCATTGCAGTTAGTCAGTTTTCAATCGTTTTTATATGTTTCTTCTTGTCATTTTAAGTTTAAAATGGTCAAACGGTGTGCATGGGGTACATGCAACTCCGACACTCGGTATCCCGAGAGGCTGGGCGACGGTGTGTATTTTTTACCCTTTCCCAAGCCACATCTCAACCGAGATAAGTGTCTGCTGACTCTGCTCTGGATTAAGTTACGCAGTAACGTTAGACCACAACACCAACTAAACGTGGATAAATTAAACAAGAATTAAACAAGGATGTCTACATCTGTTCTAAGTCAACAACGTATTTGAACGTTATCTTTAACATCTCTAACGTAACGTTAGCTTCTAGCTGCGTTGTACATCATGTCACTTAGCTTCATTAATAACGTATGTAAATAACCGAGATAACAAATGTTAGCAATGTTGTGCTGAAAGATTCATGTAAATACTGCAGTGCATGAACAATGCTGATCCTCCATCTTGTTGTCTGAGATGGCGATGGCAACGAGATGTGGTTTATCACGTTTACACTGTGACCTGTACATTTTTGCCTGGAGCTGAAGTTTTTCATAGACCTTCTCAACAATAAAATTATTAATATAACCCTTTTGGTGACTTCGAGATGATATGTAATCTTTCTGTCTCCAAAAATCATCAATTGCCTCCTGTGAAACGTCTCCTACTGTGACAGCTGCCATAGCGCCTGTCACCGAATGTTGACTCTTTGTCCGAGTGAGTGGAGGGGGCGTGGCTTTGTCCGAGTGAGTGGAGGGGGCGTGGCTTAGCCATAGGTCAATTAGCAAACAACATCAGGCAAATGATCCAAACAAATCCTGATGGACAAAATCACATCTCGTCCTACATTTTTTCTCGATCAAGCTATTCCAGCCAGATTTATATATATGTGTCACAATATAAAAGTAAAGACGAATCACAATTTCCGTTTCATGACGACGTTAAGGTGGAAGAGCCAGGATATTTTTAATATAACTCCGATTGTGTTTGGCTGAAAAAAGATATATACACCTAAGATGGCTTGAGGGTGAGACAATTATGGCATAATTTTCATTTCTGGGTGAACTATCCCTTTAACAATGCTTTTTTACAAGCCACGACAGGTTTCAAGAGAGTCTATCTGTGTGAAAATACTGTGCTGTGCACAATTTAAAACCACTGGAGACATATTTGATGTTTAAATGTGCAGGTATTGCTTCATTAAGGAAGAGACGATTCAAGTCAGTGTATTTGAATATTGGAAAAAACTGACATTGCGATATATATTGCAATAAGAAGAAATACAGGAATGTTCAGAACAGAAAATGATTTAAATAGCTGTATTTGGAAATAATTAATTACTCTAAAATGAGTGGTGTGATTTTGTTGGGAAGAGCAAAATAAAAATTAATTTATTAAAAAAATGTATTATTATTATTATTATTTATTTATCTCCTGAAAACTTTATTTGTGTGCAACCTTTTTTTGAATTTGCATTTCCATTGCTTTTGCCCATTTCAGTATATAATAATAATAATAACTGATTTTTAAAGTGATTATTTGAAAAAAAGTATATTAAACTAAATAAGAAATATATTTTAAAATTATATTTTAATATTATTAAATAAAAATAAACAATTTTATACCACAACAACCAAATTAAAATACTATTTAAATCTTAATTGCTTTATTTTTTTTATGTAAAACCATCAAGCTTTGACATGTTGCTAGCAAATTAATGTATGCACTGTTTTACAATCGCACAAAGTTATACTGCGATATTGGTTTTATTTGTATGTATCGTGCAGCACTATAATGAACACCAGTTCAAAAACTAGTCAAGGCAACAAAACGTGAGATTGACAAAGAGAGACAGCTTTAATGATTGTCATTTTATCACATGATGTTTCAGCTGGATAATGCACTAACCCGAAACCTGAATATATCTGCCGTGATTTACACCAAAGTCACAAAAACAAGGAAATTATGGTCGATTTCCTTCATAAACCCTCATGTCCTGAAACCAGTGAGACCGGTAATGACAGCTAGGATAAAGCTGAGATTCACACATATAAACTGAACACTGTGGAGAAATGATTCCCACATGTTCACTACTGGATTTATTTCTTCATGAGCTCCTACCAAATCTACACTCTCCGTCCTCAGTTTAAATAAACTGTCGTCTAGCCTAGTATAATAATGTTGATTTAATTACAATGTACTTCACTTCCGTAGCCGACATCATTTCTTAACAGTTGAAATGAGTGCAAAACAAATGATCAACATCTCCTACCTTTCATTGTGTTCCTGATAGACGAGCCGGGATTTCTCCAGTAGGTATTTCTCCACATATGCCCTGGATAAGAACAAAACAGATTTGACAGGGGATCTCTACACATTATTATTATTATTAATTATTATAACACCACTGCAGACTGAAGCTCTTACCCTCTAACAGTGCCACTCTCCTGGTAGTTCACCTGGATGAACTTCCCAAAACGACTGGAGTTGTTATTGTGGGCCGTTTTAGCATTGCCAAACGCCTGTGAACACAGGGAAAATAAACAGCATAAGAGAGGTGACTAATCAATGTATGGAATGAATGTAAAAGAATAAATGACAGAAAATATGCTGTCAAGTTAAAACTTAATTTTTTGCTTATTAACTTTCAGCTGCATTTTCAACTGAAGCCCCTCTGATATAGTATAAAGCTTGTATAGTATTTAAATCAGCTTAAATTAAAGAGTATTATTACAATATACATGCTTTACATTTTAAAATAACATATGAATATAGTACATAATTTGTGTTTGCGTTCCACTTATTGTATATTAATAAACGTACACGCGCGAGAGATCACTTCCGGCGCTTTCCGGAAAAGACCGAAGCGCCGGCGCCCTCAGAATGATCACTTGGACGTGGCTGTGGTTACAAGAGGTAAAAAAACTATATAAATACTGTTCGTTTTCTCACACAAACTGCTCGTTTCATGTCTAAGGCCATCAATGTGTACTTACATTTACGAGTCATTAAATCATGTTTAATTTGGACTTCTCTGTGCATGCTCTTTGAGGTGGTGACCATAGACCTGCATTATATGACTGACAGACAAGAACGGTTTGACCTAAAAATATCAAAATTGTAAATACTGTGGACACAAAGACACCTACATCTTGGATGCCCTTGAGGTAAGCTAAAACATATCAAAAATTAATTTCAAAGTGAACTATCCCTTTAAGACATTACAGACTATGTTTACAAGGATACTCGCCGAGACGGGCGGGTTTTTTTTTACATAATTTTGAGTGAATTTGTCCATTTTGGGTCGCGCGCTTTGGATGTTAAACTTCCCACACAGCGTTGAGTAAAAAATTCCCTTTCACGTGTTCCAGGCAGCGCTTTTGAATATTTACATTGGAAAGGCTGAAAAATTCGTGATGATGTCAACTGTACAGTGTGTTGTTCACGTTTGTTCATGTTGTCACAACATTGCATTGTGAGAATTAAAAAAAATGTTACTGACCAATTGGCAACTGACATCATTTCATACACTCGCCAACGCCGATTTTTACTCGCATCTGGCACTCGGCGAGTGTTAATTTTAGGCCCTGGTTGAACTTGTAAGTGTCCACTACATCCCCTTCTGGCCTGTTTTGGTTAAGGTCCTGCCTTGAGACCAGGAAGTTACTCAATTGTACATGAACGTTCTTGTTATTTGTAGCACCACCACATGTAAACAAATTCCTCTGTGGAACGAGCTGCCGAGGTCAATCTCACAGCCAGACACACACACACACACCGCCCTGTCGAGAGTCAGACTTTCAGAGAGGGGTTTTATGGCTCTCAGGGGAAGAAAGGACAAATGCAAGACGGCACCACCGACACACAGCTGACAACCATGAGCTAATGTAACAGTCTGTGCTCACACACACACACACCCATCGTGACGCAGCTAACAAGCTATGTTAAGTAATGTCTTGAATTGTCTAGGAAAGGTTACGTCAAACATGGAGATAACTTTACAAATGGCCTCTGGAACACGCTTTGGAAAAGTCTATAAAGCCCTTCATGATGAACAAGCACATGCCAAACATCAAGTGGATGTTGCACAGTTACTCCTCTGACAAAGGAATAGTTCACTCCAGAATTAAAATTTCCTGATAATTTACTCTCCCCCACGTCATTCAAGCTAATCATGTCTTTCTTTCTTCAGTCGAAAAGAAATTAAGGTTTTTGAGGAAAACATTGCATGATTTTTCTCCATATAGTGACTTCAATGGGGTCCAACAGGTTGAAGGTCCAGATGTGTGTTTCAGTGCAGCTTCAAAGTCTCGACACGATCCCAGCCGAGGAATAAGAGTCTTATCTAGCCAAACTATCGGTCATTTTCTAAAAAAAAAACTAACATTTATATACTTTTAAACCACAAATGCTCATCTTGCACTAGCTGTGATGCGCCACACATTACGTAATCCCGTTGAAAGGTCAAGCGTGACGTAGGCGGAAGTACAGACCTAGTGTTTACAAAGCGAACGTCAAAAGGTATATAAATATTGTTTATTTTTATTTTTTATTGAGCGATAGTTTGGCTAGATAAGACGAGACTTTGAAGCTGCACTGAAACTGACATTTGGACCTTCAACCCGTTGGACCCCATTGAAGAAATTGGACAGAACATACAACAAAAACTATAACTCCCAAGAGGCCGTTAGGTCCAATGGCAGCGCACACAAACAATACATCAATGAATGACACAACACATTATTGTAAAACACAAATGCCTACGTCCTGGGACGTAACACCTGTAAAATCAGAAAACAGCGCAACACTTGACGTCTATCATACCCCTTTTCCACCAAAGCATTTTGAGAGCCGGTTCAGAGCCGGTGCCTACTCGGGAACAAGTTCTTTGCGTTTCGACAGCCAAAGAACCGGTTCTCGGTCAGGAAAATTGGTTTCAAAGCGGCACCACCTCTTTGCTGGACTAGAACCGTTCTTTTACCACGTCATGCTTACGTCGGGGGCTGGGGGCGGGTTACTGTGACCAACAACACGACGGGAATGGGAAAGCTAAGACGTATGGTGGTGATGTACTGTACACAGTGACGTAACAACGTCGTTCGCTGGGCTCTCTAGTCAGTGGAAAACTGACCAACTTTGAACGAACCAACTTTGAACCAACCGACTTTGAACCAACCGACTTTGAACCAACCGACTTTGAACCAACCGACTTTGAACCAACCGACTTTGAACCAACCGACTTTGAACCAACCGACTTTGAACCAACCGACTTTGAACCAACCGACTTTGAACCAACCGACTTTGAACCAACCGACTTTGAACCAACCGACTTTGAACCCAACCGACTTTGAACCCAACCGACTTTGAACCCAACCGACTTTGAACCCAACCGACTTTGAAACCAACCGACTTTGAACCAACCGACTTTGAACCAACCGACTTTGAACCAACCGACTTTGAACCAACCGACTTTGAACCAACCGACTTTGAACCAACCGACTTTCAACCAACCGACTTTCAACCAACCGACTTTCAACCAACCGACTTTCAACCAACCGACTTTCAACCAACCGACTTTAACCGACTTTCAACCAACCGACTTTCAACCAACCAACTTTCAACCAACCAACTTTCAACCAACCAACTTTCAACCAACCAACTTTCAACCAGCACCAGTTCCGAACCAGTTCTTTTTTGGAGGAAACGAGGTATCATAGGCTTTCTGGAGACAAAAGAAACTTTAAACAGACCTGGAGAGAATAATAGTGAAGATGAACTTGGCAGGCCTGTTACTGCAGGAAACGGCTGCCATTAAAATCTGCTGAGATTTACATATCATACAGGAGCGAGTTTCCCAGAAGCATTGGTTAGCAAACTACATTCGTTCAAAATCCACTACGTTCCGTGTGTGGTTGGAACTACAGCTCTCAACCTGTGGTTAGATGCATTATATGTCTGATATGTGGTAAAGCAAACCACTGTTTGGCATTACAGTAGTAGCCTTAAAATGTCTATTTTGATGTTAGTATATGGCTGGAATTTAAACTTGCCTTAACGTGATTATTTGAGCTAATATTGCACAATGTTGCGAAAGGCCCGTTTTGAAAGGCTTCCTCATCATGCTTTGCTTCTTACTGGCAGAGGCAAAATCTCCACAGACAAAACACAAAAGGCTTTTGTCTTGAGATAAAGGTCTCGATCTCATTGGAGAAGTTGAAGGAGTGAATAAACAACTGATTAGCCAAATTCATCACAATTACTGAAATACTCTGACACATATGAACAGAATAAAATGACATCAAAAGCAGGAATGATAAGTTTGTGGCTTTTCCCGGCACAAGACACAGAGGAACATTCAGCAAACATGTTTTGGTGTGATATGTTCAGTGTAAGAGCTTTTGAATGGATCTTAGGGGTTGAGAACTGAAACCATTACAGCATTGTGTCACTCACACAAACACACAACAACCCGCTCTGATCGCACGCCACGTCTTCTAATGGACCACATCAGGTAAATATTATCACTGGGCCAGAGAGCCGTCACAGGAGAATTACTCTCAAAACAGTTTCAGTTTGATAAGACCATAATCCTCCACACATGTGAGGAGCACAAAGTGTTTGCAATGTGTAAGAGAGTCTCAGGTGCGTCTCTTAAAGTCCCCCTGTGGTGAAAATCAAGTATTTAAAGTGTTTATATGTCTATGTGGTGTTTTTAATATGCTTTAAGACAAACCATGTGTATATTCATAAGTTGACAGCATTGTTGAGTATTTTCTCCTCAAAACTGCAGTGAACCAAAGACAGTCTCAAAAACACAGTTTGAAATCGCTGGTGTTTCTGACATCACAAACTCCCTTGTAACCAATCAGATCAATGACTCAGCGGGCTTTAGCATATCATTAACACCGAACTAGCAGGGGAGACTCGAGTGATGCCAGGTTATCCCGGTATATTTTTCTGTTGATATGAAAAATCAGGTAGATTTAGCAATATAGCTGGTGTATGAGGTATATTATGATGCTATGATGAACTATATGCCTTTCTCAACTGATATTCTGAGTTGTTCAAAGCGTTTCTGATGATTGTTAGAAGGCAGACTGAGAGGGTGGACGGGAACATAGTTTGTGTAACATTAGCAACACATTATTAGCTGTTTGATAGCATAGTCAAGCAAAAGGCTATGCATATTAATTACCGTTGTTTCTGAAGTTGTAAAGAGCGATAACATTGTGCAGCGTTTACCTCAGTAAGTTGGCCGAGTGAATCTGTGAGTGAGTGGAGGCGGGGCTAATTAGCATATTCATGAATCCACGTATACTAAATGAAGCAAGAGTGTAGAGTTGCATTCAAGCTATTTTAAGGCATGAAGATTTTTTTTCTGTGAATTTTTTTTTTTCATTTTGATGATCAAAGATTTCATTTCATTTATTTATTTAAGGACAGTGCAAATTGATTAACATTTCTGTAAATGTGCCAGTGTTAGCCAGCAGGCTAATTTTCAACTGTAGTCCATTGGCAAGAT